ACTCAACGATCAACTGCTGTATATAAAGACTGTTACTCAACGATCACCTGTTGTATGAAGACTGTTACTCAATGATTACCTGTTGTATAAAGACTGTTTCAACAGGAGACAGGTTTCATTCAATTGTTACAATAGGACAGTTCCCTCTTGAGAAGGGGTTACTGCCAAAAACATGTTTTTCATTGTGATCAAATATGCTATTTCTCAATTTATGTTAAATTTATTGTGGACAGGGCCTTTGTGATGTTGATATAACTTGTGCCTAATCCCTTTGCTTCATTTATGCAATAAAATATGTTTAAATCAGAAATCATGCCATATGACAAGGATTCCGCTGGAAGTGAGGTTACTTAAATAATTAGTAAAATAAAACTCAATAAACATTTTGATCAGTCAAATTCTTAAAAGTCCGAAGTCCGAAAAAGTTTGAAGGCCCAGCAGTCCAGGATTTGAACTCTGGACCTCAGATAGTTATACCGTCACCAAGCTACATGGTACTAAATCTGAATAAAATCATCTGTAACATGGCTATTTTGACTTTGTACTACACCTGAATAACTTAACGGAGCCATACAGCAGGTGAGTTTAATCAGATTGCAAGGTATATATATACACTGTTAATGAAAAAAGTGCCCTGGCTCAATTGTGTTGCAATTACAAGCAAAATGAAAATAAATCAATGGCAGTAAATGTTTAAGCAATATTTATGGATTTCTTAGGTATTTTTCTTGGAATGAGACCGGGATCCTTAAATTTGATGTTGAAGAGTTAAGTTCTCACCTACCAGGAGTTAACATTTGGTCAAATAGTGTCGACCTTGTGCGCCTCTTTTTATGGAAACAAATACTTATATGGAAACAGTGAAAAACAAATCCATGGTCTTTTGTTCATATTTGTGTTTATTTCTCATTACATTTTCCCCATACATACATCACAGTACCACAAGTACATATGTATACATTTTACATATCCCCTATCAGGTACATATGTATACATTTTACATGCCCTCTATCAGGTACATATGTATACATTTTACATGCCCTCTATCAGGTACATATGTATACATTTTACATATCCCCTATCATGTACATATGTATACATTTTACATGTCCTCTATCAGGTACATATGTATACATTTTACATGTCCCCTATCAGGTACATATGTATACATTTTACATGTCCCCTATCAGGTACATATGTATACATTTTACATGTCCCCTATCAGGTACATATGTATACATTTTACATGTCCCCTATCAGGTACATATGTATACATTTTACATGTCCCCTATCAGGTACATATGTATACATTTTACATGTCCCCTATCAGGTACATATGTATACATTTTACATGTCCCCTATCAGGTACATATGTATACATTTTACATGTCCCCTATCAGGTACATATGTATACATTTTACATGTCCCCTATCAGGTACATATGTATACATTTTACATGTCCCCTATCAGGTACATATGTATACATTTTACATGTCCCCTATCAGGTACATATGTATACATTTTACATGTCCCCTATCAGGTACATATGTATACATTTTACATGTCCCCTATCAGGTACATATGTATACATTTTACATGTCCCCTATCAGGTACATATGTATACATTTTACATGTCCCCTATCAGGTACATATGTATACATTTTACATGTCCCCTATCAGGTACATATGTATACATTTTACATGTCCCCTATCAGGTACATATGTATACATTTTACATGTCCCCTATCAGGTACATATGTATACATTTTACATGTCCCCTATCAGGTACATATGTATACATTTTACATGTCCCCTATCAGGTACATATGTATACATTTTACATGTCCCCTATCAGGTACATATGTATACATTTTACATGTCCCCTATCAGGTACATATGTATACATTTTACATGTCCCCTATCAGGTACATATGTATACATTTTACATGTCCCCTATCAGGTACATATGTATACATTTTACATGTCCCCTATCAGGTACATATGTATACATTTTACATGTCCCCTATCAGGTACATATGTATACATTTTACATGTCCCCTATCAGGTACATATGTATACATTTTACATGTCCCCTATCAGGTACATATGTATACATTTTACATGTCCCCTATCAGGTACATATGTATACATTTTACATGTCCCCTATCAGGTACATATGTATACATTTTACATGTCCCCTATCAGGTACATATGTATACATTTTACATGTCCCCTATCAGGTACATATGTATACATTTTACATGTCCCCTATCAGGTACATATGTATACATTTTACATGTCCCCTATCAGGTACATATGTATACATTTTACATGTCCCCTATCAGGTACATATGTATACATTTTACATGTCCCCTATCAGGTACATATGTATACATTTTACATGTCCCCTATCAGGTACATATGTATACATTTTACATGTCCCCTATCAGGTACATATGTATACATTTTACATGTCCCCTATCAGGTACATATGTATACATTTTACATGTCCCCTATCAGGTACATATGTATACATTTTACATGTCCCCTATCAGGTACATATGTATACATTTTACATGTCCCCTATCAGGTACATATGTATACATTTTACATGTCCCCTATCAGGTACATATGTATACATTTTACATGTCCCCTATCAGGTACATATGTATACATTTTACATGTCCCCTATCAGGTACATATGTATACATTTTACATGTCCCCTATCAGGTACATATGTATACATTTTACATGTCCCCTATCAGGTACATATGTATACATTTTACATGTCCCCTATCAGGTACATATGTATACATTTTACATGTCCCCTATCAGGTACATATGTATACATTTTACATGTCCCCTATCAGGTACATATGTATACATTTTACATGTCCCCTATCAGGTACATATGTATACATTTTACATGTCCCCTATCAGGTACATATGTATACATTTTACATGTCCCCTATCAGGTACATATGTATACATTTTACATGTCCCCTATCAGGTACATATGTATACATTTTACATGTCCCCTATCAGGTACATATGTATACATTTTACATGTCCCCTATCAGGTACATATGTATACATTTTACATGTCCCCTATCAGGTACATATGTATACATTTTACATGTCCCCTATCAGGTACATATGTATACATTTTACATGTCCCCTATCAGGTACATATGTATACATTTTACATGTCCCCTATCAGGTACATATGTATACATTTTACATGTCCCCTATCAGGTACATATGTATACATTTTACATGTCCCCTATCAGGTACATATGTATACATTTTACATGTCCCCTATAAGGTACATATGCATACATTTTACATATCCCTTGTCAGGTACATATGTATACATTGTACATGTCCCCTATAAGGTACATATGCATACATTTTACATATCCCCTATCAGGTACATATGTATACATTTTACATATCCCCTATCAGGTACATATGCATACATTGTACATGTCCCCTATAAGGTACATATGTATACATTTTACATGTCCCCTATCAGGCACATATGCATACATTTTACATATCCCTTGTCAGGTACATATGTATACATTGTACATGTCCCCTATAAGGTACATATGTATACATTTTACATATCCCCTGTCAGGTTCATATGTATAGATTTTACATGTCCCCTGTCAGGTACATATGTATACATTTTACATATCCACTATCAGGTACATATGTATACATTTTACATATCCCCTATCAGGTACATATGTATACATTTTACATGTCCCCTATCTGGTACATATGTATACATTTTACATGTCCCCTATCGGGTTCATATGTAAATTTTACATATGATATCCTATATAACATATGTATACATTTTACATGTCCCCTATCAGGTACATATGTATACATTTTACATGTCCCCTATCAGGTACATGTACATATGTATACATTTTACATATCCCCTATCAAGTCCATATGTAAATTTTACATATGATATCCTCTATAACATATGTATACATTTTTGAACTATTCCATACATTCCACAAAGTACAAATGCAAGCTTCAAACACACTTAGAACACTTATCCATGTTTTTTATGGGAATTTCAGTATTTTGTAAAAAAAAAAGGTACTTTGATTTGTAACAACTGAATCATCACTAACTTTGAACTATTTAAATAAAACAAATTAAAATATTCTCCTCAAATATCTCTAACTGCATGGATGATTGAGAAATGTGAATGTTCTTTTTAAATCTCAAAAATGAGATTTTGCGTTTGCTAAAGATGAAAAATATAACAATATTGAAATTTATTAATTTATTAAAGTTACCAAATGCACTCTAAGCTACCAAGTCGAAGACACTAGAACTATGTAAGTTGTCTCTAAAATCTATCAAATCAAAAGCACTATCAATTACGGTACTATTGCCTTCAGTTGAAGGCAAAATGGTCTCGAGCTCATTGTCTTGTTCAGGGATAAATACAAAACATGTAACAGGTAGGTTCTAATTCTCTTCAGAGAAACAATTTCCTTTTGAGAAAAGAATCATGTTAAGAAAGTCTTATCAAATTCTCAAAAAAAAGAAAGAAAATATTTGAAAGACTCTAATATAGTAAAAACTCTGATAAACTATTCAATGGTATTCTTGTTCAGTAAGAAGTCAACACTTAAAGGTTTGGTTGATTAATCTGGGGGTTTTTTCTGACAGGGACAATTCTGTCTTTTCGTATTGCAGAGTTATCTGCTCTTGTGAGCAGGTATTGATTGTTACGTCATTAGTTTGTGTGAGGAAATTACGTCGTTTTCTCAAAAATTGATGACGTTACTCTCACAAACAAATGACATAACAATCAATACCTGCTATCAAGAGCAGATAACTCTGCAATACGAAAAAACGGAATACCTAGTATTAGTACTGTATGCCGGGAAACTTTCGCCCAATCAAACTTGTTCCTCTTCACTAGTAGAATTTGTTTTACGCGTAGCGTTAATTCACCTGTGACATGTTGTTACTTTGTGTAGTATGTAATGTACTTATTTTTACAGTCACGATAAATTCGCCCTCATTACAGATGATGAAAAAGGCAAAGGTTGAACTGCAGTGAAAATTTGAGTACAGTAATTATACTTATTTTAGGGTACTTAAATTTTAGCATAATATCAAATTTTAACAGATGAGTACATTCAGATGAACTAGTGAGCTCACCATACTGTGGAAAGTTTTTACCAGTTCAATATTCGTCGTTCACTGGTAAAATCTAAGTTCGGCAAGAGTCAATTTTGCCCTTTACATGTACATGAAATTCTATAGAGGGTAAACTGTGTACTAATTTTCGGTGTCATAATAAATTGTCAGTTTTTGCGGAGGGCTAAAAAGGCTAAAGTAAAACTGCAGCCAAAATTTACCTGTTCACAGTACATGTATATGCAAAAGAAAAACAAAGTACAGAATCTTCAGCTTGCGAAATTATGATTTAGTGCAATATTTAAAGCATGACAGCACTAAAAATAAAGATCACTGCTAAAATATGTAAGCCTACAGTATTCAATATCACTTGGAGTTGTGTGATTTGAACAAATAAGTATGTAAAAATTCTTGGAATAGTAAACATTATTAGAGATTATATGAAGATTAACATCAAAGATACACTATTGTTAATTAGAACACATACTTTGGTAATATAAATGATAAAGAGTGACAGAAAATGGGTTAAAAATAACAAACTTGATGGCCAACTCCAATGCTGGGACCTCATGTTTAGTATGGACTCTTCAAATATCAGAAACAAACTTCTTAAGTCAAACTTCATCCTTTATTTGAACAATCTTTGAGGTTAAACTGGGATGGATTCATAAAGACATGAACATTATTTGAGGTGAAACTGGGACGGATTTATAAAGATGTGAACATTATTTGAGGTTAAACTGGGACGGATTCATTAAGATATGAACATTCTTTGGAGATAGATTGGGACGGATTTATACCAATAAAAACACTCCGAGATATATCTGGAAGTATTTATTTAAACATGAACACTGACTGAAGATTGGGACGGACTCGTATAAACAATCATTCTATAGATAGATCCAGACGGATGACATATTGAACGTTTCAGCACACATGGATATCAAAATAAAACATAGGACTGGACAACTGCCTCACAAAATAATGTACAATTTGGGCATTGCATAGTAAAATGCTAAAAAGTTTAGATAACAACAAAAAAAGAAGTAAAATGTCACTAACAGTATGAGCAATACTTTGTTTTTTAACCCATTCACCCTATAGTAACATTTGAATCTTACTAAATCAAAGACTGGGCAAGTCCATTTTAAATATGTAGGGGTGAATGAGTTAAACATCAGGACATAATATTTGATTGATTGTATAACATATATAAAATTCAAAATGGATGGAAAATTAATTGACAAAAGGTCTTTATAAAGTATTCTTATATTTTAGGATGCTACAATAAATAGAAGCCAGGATTACTCTTGAGAAGGCAAATAGTATCAGATTTAAGGAACTCATGACGGTAGAATATCACATAAGTAATAAATAATTTCAATCAGTGTTATATAACATTAACCCTTTCACCACTGTAGACCATAATAGACTCACCCAGATAAATGTATGGTAGAGTCTTCTAAAGTTACCTAGGGGTGAAAGGGTTAAGGGAGACCATGAGATGATCACCCCTCATCCAATTCCTACAATAACCTTTAGAATATCATAATTTCTGCTGCCCTGTACATCAGTGACTAGAAATCAATCAGAAAAATACTTCTTTACGGGAAACAAAATGATTAAAAAATACTAAATTGAGGGATTCGCATCATCACAGTCTTTTTTCTATAAACTTAAGAAATCTAAAGGTTCTTTCCTCACCATTAAAGGAATCTTTATCGTATTATAAGACATTGAACTTTTGATTGTACTCGTGGGGTTGTCCTTTACCTGCCAATACAACTTTTTCTACAGTGAATTTAATTGACCTGTAAATATTACTAAAAGTCTAAAAACACTTAATGGAAAATACAGGATACCTACAAAAGCATCCCAAAAAGCCATTGTATATATGCTGTATAGCAAACAATCAGACCCGCATATATTTCTGAATTAATCAAATGTGGTACTGTTTCTCTTGCTTCATCAAATGACGAATATTGTAAAACATTAAAATCTAAATATTTTATAAAAAAAAAATTACAGAAGAATTTTGATCTCGTCATGAATGATTGGGCCAGGTTTGAATCATTAATAAGAATAAAAAGAATAGAATTCATGAGGACAAAGATTTAAAACGAAACCCTGAGTGATAAAACTAATTAAAAGATGTATAATAAAATCTAATCTAATCACTTTGCTTGGGATTCAATGATATTCCAATAACTGATTCACCCCTGAAGACAAATTTGAACTCTTCCAATTCAAAGGTTGGAATAGTTCATTATGAAACTTCAGGGGTGAATGAGGTAAGTCTACAAGTACATCCATACATGACTGAAAACAAGACAACATGAGTTGCTATACAATGGAATGTAAACAAACAGTCCAAAAGAATTGCATCAGTCACCTTGATCTTTAAGAAATGGCAAAAGTTTCTCCGTAAATATATATTGCATAGTATTTGACTTGTCTCTATGGACCTGTAGCAAATCTAGTTGAGATTCATATATATGTTTATCTACTTATAGGGTTGGGACCTCAATCTTTTCAATGTAGTAACTAGGAAACAAGTCCCAAGGGGCAGGACAGACCCTGGGTTAATTATGGTAGCCTACTTGTGTTCTTTTATGTGTTCTTTATGCTAATCAAAAGCATAAAATGATTGCAATCCTAACTGTTTCAAATTTTCAAATAATGACCCATTAGGACTATCAGACCTACGTATACAAACATATTGTCAACATAGTATTACTTTATTTTATAATGCAATAACAAGTATTTAATTCCATGTAACTGATACTGTAACTATTACAGGCTTGAAGTATAGGCATTTAAATTGTGATAAATAAAATCCACCCTCCTCAAGACAGATATATACTGTATAATGACAACGCTACCATATATACTTAACTTGTTCCTAAAAATACTCTTCAAAACATTCCCGACCTTAAAGGTGTATTAGAATTAATGTAGGAAGAATGGAGTTTTATACCCAAACCATTCTGCTAATTACCTGATTATTTGATAAAAGGTAACTCAGCTTCAAACATACCCTCAGCATGACAGGATATTTGCATAATGCTTTATAGACCCAGGCAAATGTTTGGCTAGTATATTTAAACAGGAGGCCCAAGGCACCTGTATCTGTCACCTTTTGTCAATAAATCTTGGTTTTCTGCTACATTGAGACTACATAACCTACAGGTAGACATTGTCTACAAAACCACTTGGTTAGAGTCATAAGGGGATCAGTTGTACCGAGTTGGTTAAAATCTGCCATGTGAAATGTGAAACCCAATCAAAAGCCAGGGGGGCCATCTTGGATTTTGAGAAACTTGACAGGTGTTGGATGATAGATGACTGGCAAAAACAGACACTGACTCGTAACAAAAGGTTTACCTGGTTCTATCCACAGCATTTAGAATAAATTACTTACATCTAGCTTACATCCTCATAATAATTCATTTGTAGACTTTCAAAATATGACACAGAATCTGCCTCACAAACATATTATACAGCCATTACTTCTGATCTCATTGCATATAATACACTGAACACTTCACAAGCACATAACAAAAATATCACAGATATTGGTCACAGTGTTAACTGATAAATTAAGTTACATGAGCACTATCTTTTTCAATATTAGCTTCCTCATGAATATTATATGACTCAACAGGCAAAGTTTTATTTAATTTTGTTTTCCCAACGAATTGTTTTATGAAAATCTTAGAGCGTCAAATGCAGTATTTTTCTTCGATTATAGTGTATTTTATGAGAATGTATCTTCTTCAAATCTGGTTCCTCAACGAATTGTTTTATGAAAATCTTAGAGCGCCAAATGCAGTATTTTTCTTCGATTATAGTGTATTTTATGAGCATGTATCTTCTTTAAATCTGGTTCCTCAACGAATTGTTTTATGAAAATCTTAGAGCGCCAAATGCAGTATTTTTCTTCGATTATAGTGTATTTTATGAGAATGTTTCTTCTTTACATCTGGTTCCTCAAAGAACTGCTTTACGAAAATCTTAACACAACAAATGCAGTATTTTTAACGAATAAAAACGGAATCCAATCTTGACATTGCTCATTTCACCCCCACAAATATAGAACATATGAGTCTTCAGTAAATTATTTGTATTCAATACAAAAATAAAATACACAATGTGAGTAGGCAGTGTTGAAGCTATGTGCTACGTCTGTAGAAGATTCTTTACAGTAGAGCTGGTGTCTACACTTGAACTTCTCCGGGACATCACTTTATCTCCGTAAGACACGTCTGAGTCTTTTATCTCTGTAGCCTTCTTGTATAGCTTAGCTGCCGTCTCGAAGTCTTTCTGTGATAAGACAGGACAGAAAAACTTGTTCAGATTTGTTTTATCCCAATGTAAGGTAAATGTTGCTATATCTAATGAATAGGTGCCTCATTGAGGTGTTAAGCAGTAAAACTGGCTCCCTCTTTATACATATGGGATTCTATACTATACTGTTAACTCATACACCCCTGAAATTTCATAATGCACTATTCCATTATTTGAATTGAAAGAGTTCAATGTGTCTTCAGGGGTGAATGAGTTCAAGTTGGTAAATGTCATTAATACATTCCTTTACGTTGTCCAGTAAAAACTGAAAAAAGTGATAAGGGAATTTCAGAGATCGATTTTCGGAGCATGAACAGATTTTTTTCAGATTTTTTTCGGTGCGCAAAATATTTTCAGATTTTCAGCCTCAAATTACACAGGTTTTTATGGTATTATTGAGTGCATTACTTATATTTCAAATGCTATATTTTTTTGTTAACAAATAAGGAAAACATGGGTCTCTTTAATATACTTTTAAGGTTGGTAAATGTCATTAATACATTCCATTACGCTCTGCAGTGAAACTTGAAAAAGGTGATAAGGGAATTTAATATGAGTAAATTACTTTTTAAATATTTCATTAGTTATAGATATTTTTGTGTTGATAAATGATGAAATCTGGTTATTATTAATAAATTACAGCTATAATGATACTATCAAAATATGAACATTTCTTTAATTTTTTGAAATATGAAAACGTTACCAAACTTACCTGTTCATATTTCATGACTGCAAGGTTGCGTAATGTCTCGGCGACACGGGGATTGTGAGCTCCAAGACTTTCCTCGTAAATCTTCAATGCTCTCTCGTACAGAGGCTCTGCTTCAGCATACTTGTTCTGGAAACATTTTATGTAATTAAATAATTCCTAACGACACATCAAAATGATATGATCTGTAGTCAAACAGCAGAAAACAGGTTAACTGTAGGTATGTAAACATACAAATATATGACAAGATTACCGCAAACAATATCTAATACACCTGTCACAAGATATATGAGCACTTTTTTTTAGCAATTTGAATTTGGGAGTGATGAATATGAAGGAGAAATGTTTCAATTTGATGAACGAATGTATCTAAGTTTTCCTTTATACATAAACATTGTATGTACCAATCACATTGCAAGGTGGTAATAAACTTTACGCCAACTTTAAAGTAAACCAGCTAATAAGTATTTTAGATAATGAGTGGGAAAAAGCATTACCAGAATCAAGGGGTCATAACTCCATTCATTAATATTGGAAAATAACAGATATTGAAACTGTCTGAGCTTTCATGATAATTAACTTTGTGGTAAAGTTTAAAAAGTCTTATAAGGAAAAATAAAGGATGCAGGCTTACAGCCTCTATGTCCATATCAATAAAGTAAAAAAGCAGTTTTGAAATGAATTATTTTCATTGAGTGAAGTTCAGTCTGTAATATATGCGAGTATATCAAGGTTACATGTCCAAATATTTTCCTGACGTCATTTTTCCTTGATTTTTCAGTTAACTTTTTACCAAGTGACCCATATCATCCTTGATACTCCAGGGATTATGCTCACTTTCACTCTTTGCACCCCTGGAATATGTCATACCTGTCCTTTGAAGATTACAGAGGAGCTCACCTGACTTCAAAGCCAGTCAATTTTACTGTTGTATGAGCGACAGATTCTTTTGATGTACATCAAAGGCTCAAACTAGTCTTTTCATCTAAGCCATAAGATGATGCTCACGGAGTCTTCAATTTTGCTTTGACATATTCCAGGGGTGCAGAGAGTGAGAGTGAAAGTGAGCAAAATCCCTGGGGTATTGGGGAGCGGGGTGACCATGACTTACATGAACAGAGTGACCATTACTGACCTGTTGAGAGTAGAGTACTGCCAGGTTGACCAGAGCTGTGGCCACTGAGGGATGGTATGCTCCAAAGGACTTCTCACGGATCTCTATGGCCTGTTTGTACAGAGGCTCGGCCTGCTCGTATTTACCCTTCAAAATGTAAATACAAATGTTTGATAAAACTTTAAAGCATTCTTTAAATATCTTAGTTAAAAAATAAAAACTTTTGAAATTCAAAGTAGTATTACTATTGAACATAATGCTTGTATATCATATATGTATTTATAATATACATGTTATCACATTTCTGGCAAGTGTATTTTCCAGTCCATTGAAACTGATAGAATTACTGTATACTGGGAAACTTACGCTCTGTCAAATAATCGCCCTTTGCCAATAAAGTCCATGTTCACCCAGTGTTAATTTCACCCTTCACTTGTAATTACTATATAATGTATGTTGTGTACTACAGTTGCACCTTCTGGCACACTGGGGTTCCAAATTGCAATTTGACAAAACTGCAGATTTTACACTTCCATAATTTTCTAAATTCCTGAGGTTCTAACATGCATGTCAACGAGACAACATTTTCCATTAGTCAACGAGCATGGATTATTGGACAACATACCCATATTTCACCGTTCACTCTGATCTAGGTCACTTTTAACATTTGACAGATGTATATACTGTACTGTTTACTGGGAAATATTTACATTTGCATGGCATTGTCACTATATAGCCTCTTTGGAAGCTGTGTCGTTGGTGGGACTTAAATTACCATGCATCACGAGACATCATTCTTAGCGTATTAATACAACACTGACCGGAACTACAATATCCCATATAAATAAACATGACGGCTGCTGAAATATCGCTGGGCATTGTGAGATTTGACAATGTCATTGTATATTTATGTGCAAAATAGAAAAATAAAACAAGAGGCCCAGGGGCCTTAATAGCTCACCTGGTATTTTATTTTTCAATTTAAAACCTGCTGAGTACCATTCAGGTTTATCAAAGGAGTACAAGTAACAAAGTTGCATCTTCCATTTATAAATATTCAATTCCCTTTGCCCAAAGATTCTCTAAAACAAGTTTGGTTAGGTTAAAATCCCTTCAACGGTACAGAAGGAGAAGGATCTTTAATGTTTTCCTCTATTTCCCCTAATGGGCCCCACTAATCTGCCCCAAAGAAGGGGAATCCACACACCTCAGTTTAAACAAAATTGATTCTTTTCTCCCTAAGCATGCTTCAGACTGCATTTGGTTTAAATCCCTTCACTTGTATAGTAGGAGAAAAAAAATCCTCTATTTCCCCTATTGGGCCCCGCTCCTATGCCGCCAGAAGGCCCACACCCTCCGTTTATACAAACTTGAGTCTCCTTTGTCCAAAGATGCTCTAGGACAAATTTGGTCAAAATCCTTCAATTGGTTGAGGAGAAGATTTTTAAAGATTTACCTATTTTCCCCTATTTGGCCCCGTCCCTCTGCCCCCAGGGGGACCATACCCTCCGTTCATACAAAACTGAGAACCCTTTGGCCAATGATGCTCCAGACCAAATTTGGTCAAAATCCCTTCATCGGTACAAAAGGAGAAGGATATTTGATGTTTTCCTCTATTTCCCCTAATGGGCCCCACCCATCTGCCCTTAGAAGGAGGCCCACACACCTCAGTTTATACAAAATTGATTCTTTTGTCCCTAATCATGCTTCAGACTGCATTTGGTTAAAATCCCTTCACTTGTATAGCAGGAGAAAAAAAATCCTCTATTTCCCCTATTGGGCCCCGCCCCTCCGCCCCCAGAGGGGCCACACCCTCCGTTTATACAAACTTGAGTCTTCTTTGTCCAAAGATGCTCTAGGACAAATTTGGTCAAAATCCTTCAATTGGTTGAGAAGAAGAACATTTTTAAAGATTTACCTTTTTTCCCCTTATTTAGCCCCGCCCCTCTGCCCCGAGGGGGGGCTATACCGTCCGTTTATACAAAACTGAGAACCCTTTGGCCAATGATGCTCCTGACCAAGCTTCAGACTGCATTTGGTTTAAATCCCTTCACTTGTATAGTAGGAGAGAAAAAATCCTCTACTTCCCCTATTTGGCCCCGCCCCTCTGCCCCCAAAGAGGCCACACCCTCCGTTTATACAAACTTGAGTCTCCTTTGTCCAAAGATGCTCTAGGACAAATTTGGTCAAAATCCTTCTATTGGTTGAGAAGAAGAAGATTTTTAAAGATTTACCTATTTTCCCCCTATTTGGCCCCGCCCCTCTGCCCCCAGGGGGGTTATACCCTCCGTTTATACAAAACTGAGAACCCTTTGGCCAATGATGCTCCTGACCAAATTTGGTCAAAATCCTCTGAGCCATTCAGGACAAGTAGCATTTTAAAGGAAAAAGTTGCCGGACACCGGATGCCGGACGCCGGACAACGGACGACGGACGCTGCACCATGGGATAAGCTCACTTGGCCCTTTGGGCCAGGTGAGCTAATAAAAAATGCTTTTATTACAACGAAAACAAGACCAAGGTCTGCAATATCGTACAAAATGCACATCGGTTGAAATCACCAATGCCAGCAATGGAAACAATTTTAACGCTCATGCAATTTATCAAAAATATCGTCTGTTACACTGCACTGATCAACAGGGGTTCGTTACAAATGTCTGAAATACACATATTCTATAGACCTACTGACACATATGTTACAGACCTACTGATATCAGTCACAGCACACATTAACATTTCAGACATTTGTAACGAACCTGTGCTCCGTCGCAAGATCAATCACTTCAAACGCTATCAGTTTCACGCGTCTCGCATCTACGGTTCCTCAGTTTCTGACGACATGTCAAATAACGAGCCTGTTATAGAATCTACCGACTGTTCTCAGGTTCCCATACAATAAACAAATACATTCACGCCTGGATTCTTCACAAAATGAGCAAAGTTTGAATTAACTTCCAAAAATAACTCCCTCGTGGAGGGCAAGGTCGGATTTACGGTGTTGACTGTATTTGTCCATGCGCGAAATTTGTTCCGGGGAAAAATTGAAACAATTTCAAATCTAACTTTCAGCTCAGAGTTCTATTGATAAACTTAAATCACCCTACAGACATATCATACACAATTGTATTGATACTGAATTGTGGAATACAATCGAAGTGTTTGTTAAAATTTCAAAGTACTACATTGTTTGCCAATCAGCACGCGACAATACGCTGTTCCATTTATTGAACGAAACTGTGTGGACTGTCGATAAGGCGGGCATTTTTAATTATAAATATAAATTATAAGTTAAAAAAGAACATTAGAGGCAGAGAAAACGTAAATATAAGTATTGAACTGTTTTTGTATGGTATTTATGTTCTATTTGATAGCAAATCATGCACGCATTATGTTGATTGCTTGCAAAGCTGTGTCATTCAAATAGATCATAAATACCATACAAAAACAGTTCAATGCTTAAATGTTTGCATAGTCCAACTTTCGCCCTACGCCCATGAAATCCATTTTCACCCAGTGTAAATTTTGTCCTTCACATTGAATGACAATATTTATTATGTTGATTACATACATTCCTTTTAACGATAAATTTGCCCTCATTATGGAGGGCGAAAGAGGCAAGAATTAAACTGAGGCAAAGATTTCCTGGTATACAGTAATCAATATAGACATAGTAGTAATCATTATCATCAGCTTCTAGATTTTCAATAAGGGGCCCCTAATCAATGTTCCCATGTACCTCAAGTCTCCCTGGGTAAGTATATCAGTGTCTAAGCCTGTATCTTGGAGTTTTCCTGACTCACCTGTTTTCTGTAAAGGGTTGCTAGGTGCTTCACAATAGTTGCCACACTGTCATGGTTGATGCTTAAATACTGCAACACAACAAAACTAATTTTGAGTTCATTCTCGCACTAACAAGATGTGACTCTTTGAGTTCATTATCGCACTAACAAGATGTGACTCTTTGAGTTTATTCTCGCACTAACAAGATGCGACTCTTTGAGTTCATTCTCACACTAACAAGATGTCACTCCATCATTTGGAATAGATCAAGTGGTTTATTAAGAATGTATTTTACAGCCACTATGTCAAGATATTAACCTTTGTTATAAAAAAAATACTTTATTTAACTTAGAAAAAGCAATTACATGTGCTATATATGAAACAAATTTCCCCAACTTCATGAATCACTCCTGTTGGTAAGGATGGAAGTGGTCAGACGCTCTTGATATAGAAGGAGGCAAAACCCCACATGGGTACAAGATTTCCTGGCAAAATGCCACGTGGGTACAAGATTTCCTGGCAAAACGCCACATGGGTACAAGATTTCCTGGCAAAACGCCACATGGGTACAAGATTTCCTGGCAAAATGCCACATGGGTACAAGATTTCCTGGCAAAATGCCACATGGGTACAAGATTTCCTGGCAAAACGCCACATGGGTACAAGATTTCCTGGCAAAACGCCACATGGGTACAAGATTTCCTGGCAAAACGCCACATGGGTACAAGATTTCCTGGCAAAATGCCACATGGGTACAAGATTTCCTGGCAAAACGCCACATGGGTACAAGATTTCCTGGCAAAATGCCACATGGGTACAAGATTTCCTGGCAAAATGCCACATGGGTACAAGATTTCCTGGCAAAATGCCACATGGGTACAAGATTTCCTGGCAAAATGCCACATGGGTACAAGATTTCCTGGCAAAATGCCACATGGGTACAAGATTTCCTGGCAAAATGCCACATGGGTACAAGATTTCCTGGCAAAATGCCACATGGGTACAAGATTTCCTGGCAAAATGCCACATGGGTACAAGATTTCCTGGCAAAATGCCACATGGGTACAAGATTTCCTGGCAAAATGCCACATGGGTACAAGATTTCCTGGCAAAATGCCACATGGGTACAAGATTTCCTGGCAAAATGCCACATGGGTACAAGATTTCCTGGCAAAATGCCACATGGGTACAAGATTTCCTGGCAAAATGCCACATGGGTACAAGATTTCCTGGCAAAATGCCACATGGGTACAAGATTTCCTGGCAAAATGCCACATGGGTACAAGATTTCCTGGCAAAATGCCACATGGGTACAAGATTTCCTGGCAAAATGCCACATGGGTACAAGATTTCCTGGCAAAATGCCACATGGGTACAAGATTTCCTGGCAAAATGCCACATGGGTACAAGATTTCCTGGCAAAATGCCACATGGGTACAAGATTTCCTGGCAAAATGCCACATGGGTACAAGATTTCCTGGCAAAATGCCACATGGGTACAAGATTTCCTGGCAAAATGCCACATGGGTACAAGATTTCCTGGCAAAATGCCACATGGGTACAAGATTTCCTGGCAAAATGCCACATGGGTACAAGATTTCCTGGCAAAATGCCACATGGGTACAAGATTTCCTGGCAAAATGCCACATGGGTACAAGATTTCCTGGCAAAATGCCACATGGGTACAAGATTTCCTGGCAAAATGCCACATGGGTACAAGATTTCCTGGCAAAATGCCACATGGGTACAAGATTTCCTGGCAAAATGCCACATGGGTACAAGATTTCCTGGCAAAATGCCACATGGGTACAAGATTTCCTGGCAAAATGCCACATGGGTACAAGATTTCCTGGCAAAATGCCACATGGGTACAAGATTTCCTGGCAAAATGCCACATGGGTACAAGATTTCCTGGCAAAATGCCACATGGGTACAAGATTTCCTGGCAAAATGCCACATGGGTACAAGATTTCCTGGCAAAATGCCACATGGGTACAAGATTTCCTGGCAAAATGCCACATGGGTACAAGATTTCCTGGCAAAATGCCACATGGGTACAAGATTTCCTGGCAAAATGCCACATGGGTACAAGATTTCCTGGCAAAATGCCACATGGGTACAAGATTTCCTGGCAAAACGCCACATGGGTACAAGATTTCCTGGCAAAACGCCACATGGGTACAAGATTTCCTGGCAAAACGCCACATGGGTACAAGATTTCCTGGCAAAACACCACGTGGGTACAAGATTTCCTGGCAAAACGCCACATGGGTACAAGATTTCCTGGCTAAACCCAACATGGGTACAAGATTTCCTGGCAAAATGCCACATGAGTACAAGATTTCCTGGCAAAACCCCACATGGGTACAAGATTTCCTGGCAAAACCCAACATGGGTACAAGATTTCCTGGCAAAACCCAACATGGGTATAATATTTCCTGGCAAAACCCCACATGGTTGGGTAGGTGACTCCATACCTTTCCATGTCCGATATATTTGAATGCAACCTCAGCCATCTTGGTAAAAGACAAGTGTGCTATCCATGTGCCACCCAACCGCCTAACAGCTGACCTGACTAGTAAGGCATAGCATACTTACACCATGTAAACCCTACAATATACACTGAAAATATTATTTATACCTGATACTTTCATCTACTTAAGGCCATACCTTGCTACGGATCTGTAGTGCCCGCTCATACAGTGGTGCGGCCTTATCAAACTGTTTACGGTCGTTATAGAGAGCGGCCAGGTTGTTCAGACTCTGAGCCACATCTAGATGGTCTGGACCTAATGTTGTCTCCCTCATCTCCAGGGAACGCTTGAAGAAAGACTCAGCAGTTCTGAGGAGAAATAAAAGTTACAGATAATTTCTTCATAGATAGAGGTCATTTTCACATTCTAACAATCTCCAGGGAGCGAGGTAATCTTTAAATCTTCAGAGATAGAAGTCCCTTTTAAATCTCTTGAGATGTCTAAACAGTGTATTCCTATTGCTCAAAATATTTTCTATTATTATATATGATTATGAAATTTTTGAGAACATTCTAATAAAGCAGTGGTTCAGATCATATAAACAGGTAACATCAAAATTAAACTTTAAATAATACCTAAGTCCTTAACTCAAGATCATAATTTAAACTTCCAGACATCTGGATTTTGGACATGAAATAGAAAGTTGAACCAAGCAATAATGTTTTTAATTTTACTGACTTAGAGGAAAAAACATTGCAAATTGCTTAATATTGGTATGTTCTAGAAATCTGGAGCGCTGACAGACATGTTTTGCTGTACTTAACTCCATAAGCAAAATGAAGGTCAATCCTTATATTAACTTTCCAAAAAATGTTTAATGCTACATACGAAGAAAAAAGTTGAAGCTGGTTATTACGATGGTGTAACTACGATAGCCGTGGTTGCTAGGATAATATAGTTCCAGTGAATCTACATCTGATTCAATATAGGAGTAAATTTAGAAAATACACAGTGAACATATTCTAGGGGTGTAGAAAGCGAAAGTGAGCATAACCCCATGAGTATTGCAGGTGATTTTCCCCATACAACAACGAACATTTCTCCAAAACATTTGTATTCTAGTTTTAGACTCCCTGACTGAGAATGTATGCATGGCTTACTCTAGGTTGGTTTGTAGGTAGTATAACACTCCCAGTTCATTCAGTGTACGTGCCAGGTCTGGTGAATCTGGACCTATTGCTAACTCCTCAAGCTGAAGAGCTCGCCTCTGTACCACAGACTTCATCTGTCCCTGTAAAAAATACATGTTTTTAACTTTCTATGCATGTATACATTTTGTACTTGTGTGATATTACATGACTATACATTACGGTCCTTTCCCTAGGAAATAGTTCTTTGATAGTGATGTCTATATAAGGAGGGATTTTATTTTATCAAAACGGAACAAAAATACTGCAAGGTGAATATTTCTCATTGTAAAGGATCCCTATTCCACTACACTGTGTTTTTTTGAATATACAGTAACCTCCCTTTAAGTTCCGTTTGGATATAACACCGTTGGGCTAGGACACTTCTCTTGACCCGGTAGCTCAATTGGTTAGAGCGATAGTATAGCAATGTTAAGTCCAGGGTTCGAATCTGTGTCCAGCTCTGCTCAATTTTTTCACCCAGAATACTGTTGTTGATATATTTTGTTTACTTCATCTCTATCATTTTTCATTAAAGTCCCGCAAGGTATGGGTTTCTTTTCATAAATGATTTATCAAAGATCTAAGCATGCTGGAAATGAATAGCTTCCAACACTGAGTTACAGTATTTGGCAGTGGTACAGGCTAGGGATCCTGATTGCTTGTTAAATTATTCTTACCCTATATGATACACTTTCTTGTGTAATATGAATGAAGAACAACTTACGGAATGTGAGCGAGGAGTTTTGGCTTTCTTTCTGATCAACGTAGCTCTCTTCCTCAGTGGCTCTGCTAAATCGTGCCTGTAAATAAGAATGTAAACATTCACTTAATTCAAAAACTTAGCATTGTGAATAATATATTCAGTTTAAAACCTTAAGCACATATTTTTTGAACTTATTGTAAATTTTAAACAAAGCAACCAATTTTAACAAAGATTGCCAGAGATTATAGCCCCTCACAGAGTTTTATGGGTTTTTTTTCATTGGAGACAAAATAAGCCTCCGATACAGGATCAAGCGTAGTTGGTCCTATACCTCAGTACATGTCATGAGGCACGGTAGTCTAGTGGTAGGAAGCCGGGCTTGTGACCGAAAGGCTGTGGGATCGAGTCACGTCAAGTCACTGTGTCATATCTTTGACCAAGATACTTTACTCCGCTTGTTCCAGTCTACTCACTTGTAAATGAGTTCGTGGTTGGGCAGTGCTAAAATTGTTGAATGCTAGCCGTGAGCACCTTTTTAAAAAATGGCAGCACCAGCTGTATGCTCCCCAGGGAGTTGAGAAAGATATTGGCTGGTTGCAAAGGCCCAATAACGACGGATAATAATTTGTTCACCACTTTGAGATGACCTATGACCTAGGTTGTAATAAAGCGGTATATAGGAACCTCAAGTTATTATAATTATTACAACAAACCAGTACTTACTTGTCCTGTTTCTGGTACAGCACAGCGAGAGCATCTAACTCTTTAGCTACCAGGTGATGATCACTGCCATAGGCGTTCTCGTACATAGTCAGGGCCTGTTTGTAGAAGTCCTCCGCGGTGGAGAACTTCCCCCACTGAGCGTGAAGCCCCGCCAACTGGTGCTGGGACCGTGCCACAATGGGATGGTCTGGATCCAGGGCGATCTCACGCACCTCTAGCGCCCTCTGGAGGGCAGGTACAGCCTAGAACACAAGTTTTTGTATGAATTGTTAAAATCTGTCTGTTATGACCAGAACTGCAATAAAACTTTCTGGTAAAAGCTGAAGGAAAATAATCCTGATAATATTCAGTTTTGCAATATGTTTTGTATGCATGGAGAAGAAAACATACAGTAGAATTGATCACATTTCACGATAATTCCTCCAAAGACATTTTCACAAATCCATGTATTCATGAAGAACGGCCACAATCTGTTCCTTGCTAACTTATATTGTATGCTATACTTTGAAATCTTAATCGTCTCTCCTAGCAATTTATTTTTCTTCTGCACAACGAAACATTTTGTAGTGTAGATGATTTACAATATTTAACTCACTCATCCTAGTAGACATATTTGAACTCTTCCAGTTCAAAGGTTGGAATAATTCATTATGAAATATCAGGGGTGAACGCGTTAAGAAATAATGCGGACTAACCTGACTAAGGAGGCCGAGGTCTTTGAGAAATCTGCCCTGAGACTCGTACATATCAGCTATCCGGGGAAGTGTTACCAGGCCGTTGTGTTGACCCACAGCTGTGAAAGTTTACATATCATTAGTTCCATAGATACAGTATTAAATGTAAATAATGTAATGAAGGATTGTTCAGCTATTTATGAATACATATTACTTCTTTGCCTCCCTGTCTTCAGTCACAGGGAATTGCTCCATTTCTTCACTTGGCGAAAACCCCAAAACCTTTCTCAGGGAATTCTCCAATACTTTACTCAGAGAAAACATGCTTTAGGTAAATTTAGAACATTTCACCTTTATTATTAAAAATACCTGTTTATTCATGATTTCAATACATAACTGAACTTTGTATGTTTTGAAAATGTTAATAAAATAACCCACCAATCTTTACATATCAGCACACTCGATCGCTAAGTAAAAATTCATAAAATGAACTTATTTCAATGAATATTGTATTTTGAAAAAAAATCTTCCATTAACAAAACATCACATTCAAACATCTTTTTCTTGTAAAATATTAATATAAAAGTAGAAAACTATTGGTTCTTGCTCACAGTCATTGATAGAAGGAGATTCTTCTATTTATTATTTAATTATACAACTTGTGTACAGAGTAAAATGAGTTAACCCTTTCACCACTGTATAACCATAATGGACTCATCCTGATCAATGCATGGTAGATTCTACTAAAGTTACATAGGGGTGAAAGGGTTAAGAACAGTGAAGAGCAGTTGTATATCTCCTTCACACTTAAATTAAGACCACCCCACAAAAATGCTAGATACTGGGGTGGAATTTTATTAAAAATAATTCCATCCTATATTTAAACTTACAATCCTCCATATTGCGGGTGGCCTGAAAGTACGCCTGAGCCATACTGTTCTTGTCCGCGGCAATAAACTGCCAGTAAGTTATTAACTCTGCACACCGCCCTCTGTAACAGACAGATTAATGATATCAACACGTAATGATTTAGACAAGTTTTCTTTATATACAGGTATTCTTTAAAGACAGGTATTTAATGACAGGAGCTCTTTAAAAACATGTGTTGTTTATAGACAAGTGGTCTCTAACATACCGTGTTCTTTCATAAACAAGTGGCCTTTACAGACATTTTGACATTAGTTTTGTGCCCTGTTTATATAGACATGGGCTGCTTTCGTTTATCACGATCTGAACGGTTGAATTGGTTGGACCAGAATTGTTTGTTTATGAAATAAGGTTCAACTCTGATGCTGCTTTCAGACGAGCCTTGACAAAGCCTTGCAAGGCCTGCATAATTTTGTGTAACAGACACAGGTAGTATTAGGTATACACTGCTTACCTGGCGTAAAAGCGTTGGAATAAACACAGATTAAGTATACACTTTTCTAGACTGTCCTTATCACCCGTCTGTCTAATAAGCCAAGGTAATTCGTCTGACACGCGACATGTCACCTTCCCCGGGCTGAAACACATCACGGACATGGTCAGTTAGGAAATACAATTACAAATGTTTAATATAAAATGTTACACAGAGAAGACTACAGCTAAAATAACACCATCAGTACTAAAGGATGAGGAAATAGTTTTAAAACCTGATTTTAACACCATATTAAAGCACAAAGGAAATCAAAATATGCTCAAAACTTAAACTTCTGTATTCATTTTTGAAGAGAGACTCTTATGGATTCAGATAATTAACTGCTTTTATCGGGTGATAAATAGTAATTTAAGATCAGCTATAATTAGTTTGATAGTTTACCTTTGGAATTGCATGAAGTATTGTATGAGGTCTTGTCGTAGCTGAGGGACAAGCTTCACCTCCTCCTTACCAAAACAATAGTCCTGAACCGCTTTCTCTACCTAAGCAGCAAAATTCAGATTTTATTCAATATTTCAACCAAACATAAACCATAAATATATTCATAGGCAATATGAATGACAACTGGATAATGCCAAATTCAATCAAGCATGCTAGTGCTTCATGCTGGATTTTTCTTTGTCAAGATGGAATTCATATTGCCTATGAATGCCAACTGAATGCAGTTCAATACTTATATTTACCAGTTTTTGGAATCTGTTCATTATTATGGAGAATTTAGTTCAAAATGTGTATGTTTGTTGAATTAATAGAACAGCCATTGCCCAGGGAGGGTCAGTGGTATCCAACATAACAATTATGATGTCATAATAATGACGATGTCAACAATCGGTCCATGACATCCATAGCCTAAATGAATGCCAACTGAATTTGGCAGGGTTATAAAGTGCTAATGCCATACGATGGTAAGTATGGTGAAATGACATGCACAGAGTGGTTCTCAGTTTGTTACACTAGTTCCGATTGGTTGTTTTCAGATCGGGTCATATTGAGCAGCATTTGCACAAATAACATTACAGAAGATTCATCATCATAATGAAACTGTTTTTTTCAAATCCAAATTCTTTTATGGTTAGTTAGTCATTTTGATTACTAAAATATGTAATTCCTGATTCCAGCTTTTAACACAAAGAAAATATCTTCAATTCTCAATATCTTTATCTACTGTTCCATTTAGGTTTTAAATACTTGAAACTAGCACAAACCAACTTTTTTGTAAATCACGTAAATCATGTACAATGATCAAAAAGTCAAATGTTAACATTGAAAACAGATTTTGGCTTGAAGTCTTTTTATTGTTTTTCCAAATCATTGACAATATAAAATTTTATTTTTTTAATAATTTATAACGGAAACAAGAAATTCAACTTGAGCACAAAATCAATACCTGAGCATGAGAATGGTTTCATGCATACAGGCCCAGATATTGGAGGAAACTTACTTATCTTCGCTTCAGAAACATAATTATGCCTGTGAACAGCAAATGTTACCTGTTCATGAGCAAATGATAACAATCCGCCCTGGAATTTGAGAACGAGTAAATCGACGAGGACCTCTGTGAACAGTGCGAGGAAGTTCCAAGTCAGACCAGGAACTAGGTCTATTAATTCTAGCTCGTTAAGTCCACTCCGACTCACGTAGATATACCGCAGGATCTGTCAAGAAAGTCAGGACTTGTCAATACTATGATACATACATTATATATTTGCAAGTTACTTTGCTCTATTGATTTTAGGGATACTGAATAAAGGAAAATTTTCGTGTCGTCAAATATTTGCCTTTTACAGGTACGGTAAAATCAATATTCACTAAGTGTTCATTTCACCCTTCACACATAATTTCTCTATAGTATGTTATGTACAAATAAACGTTTCATTCGCGCCCTCATTGCGGAAGACGAAAAAAGGTGTAAAATAATAAGCAGCGAAAATGTCCTTGTCAACAGTAATCCCAGGGCTATACTAAATTAAAGTGTACTTGAATTGAACTTCAATATTATTGAGCTATCTCTACATATCAGTTTAGCATTTTGTTGCCCAAAACATCCGATCAGTTGAAATGAATTAAGATAATTTGTCTAGAGTATATACTTTAATGATCTAGCAATATTTGTACAGCTCTATATAATACAAAATACCAAAAACATTCAAATATCATCTTAACTAAAATATTGAACTAGTTGTTCTAGGATTTATGGACATTTGACTCCAGACATCGTAGAACTTTTGAAGAAGTTTATTCAAGATTTTACCATATCTGATCATTGACCTTAAAAATGTCCTTACAACCACAATAATTTGTGGGTTCCAGGTCGGATACTTACCGACTTGAGAAAGCCACGTGTGTCGTGTGATTCTAGTGACACTCGTACAAGGTCGAGAACCTTGCTGTACAAACTGACACAGTCAGGACACGTCAACATCACATCTAGGTGGCGACCCACTTTACCCTCGTGTTTTGCGTAACTGTGGAATGAAAGAGTTAGGTTCAGTTCACTTGCATATATATATATATATATTTAGTGACAGTAAAAATATATAGGCATAAATTCATAACACATAACAATCAGCCTTACAGAATATGGAAATTGAAATAAAGAAATGTATTTTTTTTTCAAAGACAAACTTAACAAGGTTACCGCGAGTGGTATATAATACGCACGTCACACATTGAATGAGCAGTTGTTTGTATGATTGAAATATATGAAGTATTTGTGAGTAATTGATATTAAAAGAGAAATCATTCAACATAACTGGTAGATCAATGAGTGCAATACAACATCATGGAACGCATGCATCCCATTAATGAAACCAAGGGGAATAATTCCAATAATTACGGTCGGATAATAATGGTTATCAAACTTGTCCAAGCTTCTACCGAAATTAACCTCGTCATAAATTTTGAAGTTAATTCATTAAAAATATTTAGGAATAATTGTTGTTTAATGGTAATTAACCTTGTTGTGAAGTTTGAAGTTAATCCGTTAATAATTACTCGAGATATCGAGCGGACACTGTTTCGGCAAGTCCATAAAGGGGCATAACTCCACAAATTATGGTCGGATAATAGTGGTTATCAAACTTGTTTGAGGTTTCATGATAATTAACCTTATTGTGAAGTTTTAAGTTAATCCGTTAATAATTACTCGAGATATCGAGCGGACACTTTTTCGGCAAGTAAAGGGGCATAACTCCACAAATTATGGTCGGATAATGGTGGTTATCGAACTTGTTTGAGGTTTCATGATAATTAACCTTGCTGTGAAGTTTGAAGTTAATCCGTTAATAATTTCTCGAGATATCGAGNAGGCGTATAAAAAGGAATCATCAGGTATTTTTTACAGGTAACTCCCTGAAAGTTTGGTTATATTTGGTTTAATGACCCATCAACAGCTAAGGTCTTTTAAGGAAGTGCCTCCATGTGTGTTGTATATCTGTGCGTGCGTGTGTGTGTGTGTGCAGGAGACAGGGTATGTTGGTGTATTTGCCTCCTTGTGATAGTGCAGATCTTATGCCGACTTCTGCTATCTCACTGAAATACCATGCCAAAGGGACCTAGCACAGCATTCCCCCTGGTCACATTATACTAACAACAGGTGAACCAGTTGTTGCCATTATGGTATATGGTATGTACTTTGGTATGTCCTGGCCTGGTCCCTGAAAGTATCAGTATAACATGTTACATGTTGATTATAGTATCCATATTTTTTTTTAACGCTTTCCCCAAAAGAAATAATTTACAATCCTGTTTAAAGATCCTACATATGTTGCCCCTAGCTGATGCTCGAGTCATATCTGCATATCAGCACATTATGTTAAAACAGTGAAAGGCATGGGAATACAAAACTGTATCAGCAAATTTCAACAACGTTAAAACAAATGATCAGAAATTTTCTTCAATATAGTAATCACAGTCAGTCAGCACTCACAGTCAGTGTGGTGGGAATATTGGGAAGATGGGAATATGTACCCGGGTATGGGGTGATCTGGTACCCTGATTTAGTGAGAACATACCAAGGCCCACATTCTTGAAACTGTTCTCTCACACAAACATGGATTCTGTGCTCAAACCACCTTTATTGTAGCTCGCTTAATTCATGCAACACAGTCAAATAGTGAAGTGAAAACATTGGCAAGAGAATTAGTTTGTCTCTCCGAAATTCTCCCAAGTTGTTGGCAAAATGTGATATTTAATTATTAATTTATTATCGGAACAAGATATTAGGCTTAAGCATGGGATGTAAGTTTGAGCATGAGAATGGTTTCATGAATACAAGACCTGGTGATTTGGTTAGCGATCTCCATGATGAAGTAAGGACATGCATACCTGGCAATGTGGCGGGCGAGCACCATAACGTAGAGTGGACAACATGTGGGGGCAGTGCGGCAGTGAGTCAGAATTAATGTCTCCTCGTCCTGGCTTATCTGAGTGTCCTGTATCGCCAGCTCAGCATGGATCAGCTCCTTCACATTCTTATTGCTCAGTGGCTCCACAAGAAGGGTTGGCCAGGACCTATAACAATAATAATAATAATATACAACATTTGATATAGCGCCCTATCTAGCTAGACTAAGCCACTCTTAAGCTCATTACAGCACATAGATATATAATTTATACAATCAATAGAAATAGCATATACATTAATCAATACAACTTTGAGGAATTCACAAGTGCTTTCTTATCAGGTGCTAACTACCAGTCATATGCAACCTGGCTAATATATCCCTATGTGTGAATGCCTGTGTGTTCGCTGGAAATGTAATATGTTCTTTTTGTAGTGAGACCGTAATTCAAACGATTTATAGTGCCACTTAAATGCTACATCACAGATACAGCAACATCCACCCCAGACCATTTTATACTCCACCTGGGTTGTTGGAGTTGTGTGGGCAGGAGAAAAACACTTTCTCAGAATATTCCATGGGGATAAAGTATTTTAACAATAACTAGTAAATCAGGAAAAACATTTTATATCTTTCATCTATATTTAAAACATACATCATTATTGTATTAAAGTTTTAAAATCTTTAAAAACATTCTTCCATCAAATGATTCTTTTTCCAAACTGCACCCAGATCTTAAATGTTTAAATCTTAATGAGCTGCAATATTCAAGTTATTTCTCTAAAATTCATTATTTTTAAAAGGTTTACAGATGATATTTTGGGATCCTTGTCAATATTACACAATAAAATAATATAATAAAACCTGTCAAACAGTTTACTCAATTCAAAAAGCAATACTGGTTTAGACAAGTAGTCTTTATAAACAAGAGGTTAATATAAAGATGGAAGCACTTAGATCAATAGTAAATATAATTATACAGTTATAGACCGGGGAGGGGGGTGGGAGGGGAGTGTGTGTGTGTAGTTATAGACAAGTATATACTGGAGATTATGAAAATTTCAAACAGAAATCACTTCTACTTGCTTACCGCCATGCCTGTGGACAGGTCTCGTCAGTGACTGACACAATCACCCTGGTATCCACAGGAAGGGGGTCCAACAACCATTTCAGGTGTACCTCCGCTTGCTGAGGAAACAAGGCATGGATGACGTGATTATGTTAATGGCGAAACAGGAGCATATCAAAAACAAACTTGTGTTGGACTATATTGTATTTGTTTAAGAAAGAATGACCCTAATATCCTAATTTGCTCATGTTTCTCACTTGTAACTGTATGTAGGTATACCAGGTATATATAGCAATACTTTGTATCCAGTTTCTATATATACTTGTAGGTTTAATTTCTGTACTTGTAGCTATATCCAGTTTCTGTACTAAGTCTTGTAGCTATATCCAGTTTTTAATTTGTAACTTTATCTAGATTTCTAACTTGTAGCTTCATCAATTTACTTGTAGCTGTATCAAGTTTTTGTACTAAGTCTCGTAGCTTTATCTAGTTTTTAATTTGTAACTTTATCTAGATTTCTAACTTGTAGCTTCATCAATTTACTTGTAGCTGTATCAAGTTTTTGTACTAAGTCTCGTAGCTTTATCTAGATCTCTAATTTGTAACTTTATCTAGATTTCTAATTTGTAACTTTATCTAGATCTCTAATTTGTAACTTTATCTATTTTTTTAACTTGTAGTTTCATCAGTTTACTTGTAGCTGTATCAAGTTTCTGTACTTTTACCTGTATCTTGACTTTTTTTCACTATAGCTTGTAGCTACATCCAGTTTCTGAACTTGTAGCTACATCCAGTTTCTGAACTTGTAGCTATATCCAAGTTTTTTTTACTTGTAGCTGTATCAATTTACTTGTAGCTGTATAAATTTACTTGTAGCTTTATCAATTTACTTGTAGCTGTATCAATTTACTTGTAGCTGTATCAATTTACTTCTAGCTTTACTTGTAGCTGTATCAATTTACTTCTAGCTTTACTTGTAGCTGTATCAATTTACTTGTAGCTGTATAAATTTACTTGTAGCTTTATCAATTTACTTGTTGCTTTATCAATTTGCTGGTAGCTGTATCAATTTACTTGTAGCTTTATCAATTTACTTGTAGCTGTATCAAGTTTCAGTACCTTAGCTGTATCCTGGTTTTTTTTAATCATGTGGCTATATCAATAAATCTAGTTTCTTTACTGTTAGTTATGTCTTGTTCTATCAATACAATCAAGCATTGTTACATTTAAGTCGTTAAGACCATCAATAATTTTGAGGGACCATCTAATTAAATGTACCTGGAACCTGTCAATGGAATCCATCACCAGTATGACGCCGCCCACTGTTTTGGCCGACACCTTCTCTAGCCAGCGAGGGAACTCCTCTACAAGTCGTCCAGGGTCACAGGTCAAGGCCGGCGGTGAATTCACTTGTTGCATCAGCTGTGGATCGAGTCACACATATATCCAAACTTGTGATAATTAATTCTAATTTATATCTAAACTTTTGAATTTATTCTCAAACTTTTGAATTTATTCTCAAACTTTTAAATTCTCAAATTTTTAAATTCTCAAACTTTTAAATTCTCAAACTTCTCAAACTTTTAAATTCTCAAACTTTTTCATTTATTCCCAAATATATTTCATTTAATGAAGTTTGCGGATTTCACTTGAACATTAATTCACTAGAATCCCTTTCACCCAAAGGTAACTTGGTTAGACTCTATCATACATTCATTTGGGTGAGTCTATTATGGTCTACAGGGGTGAAAGGGTTATTGGATATAATTTATACTCAATTACAACTTGTCAAAAATCTCAATTTTTGTTATATATTGGGGTAAAAGACACCTTTTCTCTATCATTTGCTTCCCCACGGGAGCAGAAATTTAAAATACAAATGCCATCCTTTTATTTGACCATAAAGTTTAATGAGTGTCAGGTCTCTTACCTGAGCGGTCAGTCTTCGTATCATGTTGACCGCATCAGAACTGACCGATGAATTACTGCCCACGAAATGGTAGAGCACTAGACTACTCTGGACCTTCTCCTGTTGTAGTTGTATCCTGGACAAAACAATACAAGATAAATTAACTAAAAGCAACATTTAATTTTCAAAGTTAATCTACCAGATTTACGATAAAAGTGATTAACCCCAACGAAAATATATGCTTTTATAGTAAATAGTAGGGAAAAATGTTCCTAACAAAACCATGGTGGCATGTGGGGTTGGTGATAGAACTGGAAGACTACTTCATAACCAGTGTTCAGAGTTCTTACCATTTAGCAAGGAGGAGTGACCGTCCTGTTCCTGCTGACCCGGTCATCAACAATGGAGGAAGGGGTCCAGCCGAGAGAACATGACCATTTAATCTCTCGTAATGCTGCAAAAAACATAACCACTATCAAACTATGTTGCATGTAAAGTTCTAACTTCACACTTACACATTCTGATGCTTCCTTATTACATTATCACTACAACAGTTCCTGTAATGTTAAATCAATATATATATACCATAATTATATTGTCTACCAATTCAACAAATCATATTGTTCCAGTCCTGTTAAAAGTTTTCTGACATTGTGTTAAAAATATTAGGTGAACTTCATACAGAAAATACCAACTAATGACCTAAACAATTATCTACATTTATTTAACATAAAGCTTGGTTTTACCTCATTCAACCCTGAAGACACATTTGAACTCTTCCAATTCAAAGGTTGGAATGGTTCATTATGAAATTTCAAGGGTGAATGAGTTATGCAATGTTACTATTGTGTTTGTGTAGAACAATCCAAATAAGGGCCACTGTGACATGAACATTACATTGTTATTGTGAGTTAAACAGTATTAAATGACTAGTGATGATCCACACTAACACAAAGGTAATACTACCGTTTTTTAAAAAGGTACAACTTTCCAACCTCATGGTGACAAATTCGTTGGAGTTTTATTTCACATGTTTTCCCAGGCTGATGAACATAGTATAAATAATTCCTTAATAATATAAGGACTGCACAGTATATCGCAAACCTACAGAAATGGAATTCTAACCACAAACTTACTTTTTCAAAACCAAGTTCACAACTTGAACGTTTGGCGAAGCTGATGGCTTCCATTTGTTCCAGATCGCCATGGATATCAAAAATAGACCCCCCACAGAGTTGTTCTGGCCCTTCTCCCTCCAACAGACCATTTTCCTCATCCTCCTGTTTCTCCAGCTTGTTCCCTACACCTAGCTCCTGGAAAACAATTTGGAAAGATTGAAGGGTCGTAGTAAATCTAATAGAGAAGATGCAGCGATTTGTACATCATTTTCAGGAACAGATCCATCTACTCCTTAAGAAACAGTGATATTATACAATTGTTTCATGGCTATTTGGGGAACAGTCAAAACTATCCTCCCGAGGAAGGGGGAAGCCCTGGGGAACTGTNCAAGAATTGTTAATGAAGAATGATGGACAGTTGACAAAGTATGGATGGAAGGAGCTTTGAACAGTCCATCATCCGATGATGGTAGTCTAAATATTAATATTGAGAAACATTTCCAGAATAGTTTACATACAGATATCCTTATCTTTATAATTTAGAGTTGCATCAGCATTTGTCAATGTATTATAATATCACCCTTCAAATGCATCCTCAATAGTTAATAAAGTGTGATTTAGTAATCATATAAAAACTTCACAGATTTCTCAGTGTAGAACTGTTCTGAGAGATAACTCTCGTACTTACCCCCTTCAGGATTTTCTCCAGCTCAGCACTAGCCTGTTCTACTCCTCTACTTGGCACAGTATATCCATCAACGACCTTGGCACATCCCATCTCCCTGACCTTGACCTTGAGATCCTTGGCATCACCTTGACTTGACCTACTTCTGTGTGTCAATGAGTTAACAGCATGTTGATATGATTTACAATTCAACAATATTTTTCTTTAAAATTTGAATGGGAAGCAAAATAATGTGGCTTCTACTAAACTTATTTTTATAGTTAAGTTTCTAATCAAATTCAGATCATCGGATATATTGTACATGGCAATCTTCAAATATTGGTATGCATATGTATGTATATGACAATTTTAAATAATCAAATATTAAATACACTTTTGTTGAAGATCTTTAAAACACACTTAACTTAGCCTCTTCAGGTCCAAGAAATAGTTTTTAATAATACATGTTCTACCAGAAAAACTGTACAAGTATGTAAGTAGGACTAAATTTCTGTGTCTTTAACAAATTTGACACAGCTATACATTTCCATTCCCTTTAAAAACTAATCTAATCTTTATTTGTTAATTACTTTTTCCTTTAAAATGTAGGTTTACGTGAAAAAAGAGGGATGTTTTTAAGACTTTTTCACTATCATCCAATAAACACAGATCAAGGGATTTTCTTGTAATGCAGCAGGAATTCATAAGCCTATGAACCACGTTTCTTAATAGGGAAGACAGTAGAATGAACACTGTGTATATTACATATTTGACATAGCTAAACATCTACCATTCCTCTAACAAATAATCGTATATTCATCAGGCAGTAACTGTTTCCCTTAAAAATCCAGGTGTACATGACAAAAGGGATGTTTTCACATCCTTTTTCATTATCATTAATTTTCTTAATGAGGATAGCTGTGGGAAGGACACTGCAGGACATTTTCAGCTTGGTATTCTCACCAACACAGCATCTTGGAATCATATTCTGGCAGGAACTTTCTTCCAAACTTCAGAAAAAATGTGTATTTGATTTTTTGGTTCTTTTAAGTGTCTAGATGTCATTTTTCCTGTCAAATCTAACATTAAGCATGATTTTTCATCATATTTATATTAAACATTAAGACTGTACACTTATTTAATATCTTACCCTTTTGACTCCCGAAAACAGAAGACTGACGACCGCCATGTTGGGTTATCAAAAAACCCATGTTTGTACTCCATTGCTGTAAATCTGAAAGAATAGGGTCATATATAAATGTGTTGATATTGTTTTGCATTAAGCTGCTCAAATCATAATTAATGCATATAGAGACACCTTATTATTGCTAGTCATGGGTTTATTGCTTACAAATTTTCAAACTACAGTCGTGTGATCGCACAACGCACCAAAATTACTGTGCATACATCATGCATACACCATCTGCACATAGCGTGCACAACTGTGCAAAGTAACAATCAATCGCCCCAATGTGCGGTAAAACTTGCACATATGTGCAATATGGTAAGATCATTGATCAATGTTACGGAATGAAAAAAGTGCAGAAGGCTTGAGTGAAATAATGTAAACTGTACTATTTAATTTCTGAACGGTACATTTTTCACTTTATCTAATTATTCAATGCATGTAACACATTATTATAACGACTGTAAATCTGTCAATAATGAGGTTGTACTGGTAGGTTCACTACTAGTACACGGACGTAGTGAATTAAATGGAGTTGATTGTCCACACACCACACATCGTGTCACGTTGTGCGATCCCACAATAGAACCGTTCCTAAAGATGTTTCACAGGTATCCTACAGTGGAACTCTTTTGACTGTGTATGGCAGTGAGATAGGATATAGCCTTAAGCAAGCATGTTATACGTTAAACTATTAGAAGGGTCAATAGCATGGTTACCTGTCAGTGGCATCTCCTAGGAAAGCCAAGAAGATGGAGGACTTGGCTATCTGTTTTTGTCTGGTACTGGCCTGGAGGTCTACCTGTAGAGGATAAAGATTAGGACGCTCATTACCCACATTTCATAGTCTAAATGATGGAATTATTTTCATCATAAGCATAAATACAAAAAAAAATGTTCTTGCCTCTTTCCAATAAGTTATCATGAAGTAAATTTCACTTCAAAAATCAATCAATCGGAAAATGAAATATAATGCAAAAGGTTTTTTTACCTAACATACGGAGTGAATTATGAAATAGGAACAGATGCAGTAGTTTGCCAAAGTCAAGTCAGTGTACATGAAATAAGGATTGATCATTTTTTTTTTCAAATTCATGTTGGTACAGTATGTATGAACACAAATTGGTTACATAATACATATTTCATGAATATATACATGTATGTAATTGGTCAGTGTTCATGTCAATATAAACATTGAAAAAATGCTGTTCAGTCCTTAAATTTACATTCTAAATTTTAGTTATTATTGACCTAAATACAGATGTTTCCTTATATTTTCGATATTGAAGTGTCTGTGTCATCAGAGCAAACTAGCTGTCATGATCATGACATGGACAGCCAAATGTCACCAAAATGTTTGCTTCTAACAGTTGTGTCATGTTATTCAAAGAGGGAGGAGATTGTTCAAAACGACGCTGATCGAATTGCATTCATAGCTCTATGAATGCAACTTCTGCTGGTAATACTGATAGAGGAACTTGCAGTGGGAGAGTAAATATATATTGTACACAAAATATTAGCAAACGACAGTGAACTTTATAAAAAATTGGGCAGAGACAAATGGAAATGAAGTATGTAACTTCACAGAATATCCATCTCTCTGTCTAGATATTAAGATACTTTGGGGACAATGTTTTATGTACACTTACATTGTGGATATCATTAGCCCATTTGGTAGAAATTTTCACAATGCATTTTCTGCATAAAACCCCTTTCTGTACAACCAACTTATTACAAAACCCACTTTCTGGAAGTTAAACTTACTTTGTGAACAAACTATTTCGTACATGACTTCTAAACCCATTTGGTTTCGGTAAAACACTTTTAAACATGAAAAACAATTTCCTTCAGTTTTATAATAAATGCCGGATATCAAACATCAGGTTTCAATTTCTGGAAAGCCAACTTTTATCCATAATGAATATCCAACTAAAATTTGTAGATAATATTTTGGATAATCCACTCTAATTTCTGCATAACTAACTTTCTGAACATAAACTCCTTACCTGTGTAGATGGTGGGTTGTTCTCGTCAAACACGAGGTGGACTATAGCCAGACTACGACCTTCAGCTTCACATATACTAGACAGTCTCGGCATGTATTCCTGTAATTACAATCCTACATCAACTACTTCATGTATGAATTAAAAATAGCTAATTCAGGTCCTTACTTATTAAAAACTTGTTAGTAAATGAAATTCTCAAGATAAAAGCTTCTGAAATACTTGAAAGCTTGCGTTAGAAATCAATGAACATCACTCCTGTAAATACTTGCTAACTTAAAAAAAGAACCTGCAAGAAACTTAAGTAAAATCTCAAAAATACTTATAGTGAACCATTGGACAATAATAGAAGTGTCAAATGCTACATTGTAAGATATATACTATGCAATACATTTAACGAATTTGAGCAAAAGGCAAAATGAGAAGAATTCCACTAATGGAAAAAGTCAAGAATGAAAGTGAACACTAGGGATAATTAGCAAATATTTGACATTCACAATGAACTGCAGGAACATCTGCACATCTAAAAACTTCACAGCACACAACCTTCAATATTTGTCAATGTGTCAAATACATGCTCAATATGAACTCATCGAAACAAATGATATGCAATAGTAGAACCTGGCAATGAGTTGTATGTAAAAGGCCACTTGTTCTTCGTTGAGTATATCTAAAGCTGCACTTGAATCCTGCGGGGCCGATATATCACTTACCTTATTGAGTATTTCCACCTCCACATGTGAGTCACGCGGGGCTGATATGTAGACCCTGAGGACGGGGCTGAGGGAATGTTCTGGGATTATGGGCACCATCTGAGTAAGGTTGGCTAGCACAGAGCTCCAATCCTCTAGAGGTGGTAACAAAGAATGTAGAGGTCAAACAAAATACGCTACAGTGAATCTTAACATCTAGAGGTCAAACAAAATATGCTACAGTAAATCTAAACCCCTAGAGGTCACAGAAAAAACATGTCAAGGTCAGACAAAGTGAAAAGTGAGGTCACATGTAAAAATTCAGGGCAAAGTGACTTGTTTTGGTGTGTGCCACACTGTCTTTAGTTTCCCAAAATGTAAACATGTATGTGCTGGAATCCATCCAGAATCAATATATTGACATATGAAAAGAGCTTATTCCGTCTTTTCGTATTGCAGAGTTATCTGCACTTGTGAGCAGGTATTGATTGTTAAGTCATTTGTTTGTCGTCATCAATTCTTCAGAAAACAACGTAATTTTCTCACACAAACCATTGACGTAACAATCAATACCTGCTCACAAGAGAAGATAACTCTGCAATACGCAAAGACGGAATACTGCATGCAGGGAAATGTTTGCTGCAGTTTTTGTTTTACCTTTTGTGCCTTCCATTGTGAGGGTGAATTTAACATTAGAGCCAACATTTATAAACAGCATAATATACAAATGCGAAAGGTGAAATCGATATTCCAGGAAAATGTTTTTCCGTTAAAGGGCAGAAAATTTGACTGGGCGAAAAGTTTCCTGTATACAGTACTACCTACAAGACCTTATCTAAATGAGGTCTTAAAAATAAGGGCAGGTCGGAAGATAGAAAAAGCTCCTTTTTTTACTTATGTACCAGTACCATTCTCCTACCTCTGTTGACATTGGTAAAGGGTCCGTCTGTGTCCATCATACTGTGAGCAAACTCGGGACCTTTAATGGTTGGCTGATGGAGCTGTATTGTGCTGCCTAGGGATGGCTCACTCTCCAGGGCTGTCCACCAGTCACCAGGGTTACCTAGAACACATAAAATAGTGACAATGTACACAAACTGCATTTATCATATTATACACAATGCTGTGACAATATACGCAAACAGTGCATGATGATTTTAACCACAAGCAATCGTGATGATGTACACAAGCAATAGTGACAGTGTACAAATAACAGTGACAATGTACACAAATATTGGTGACAATGTACACAAATAAAAGTGGCAGTATACCAAAAGTAGTGACACTGAGGCTAAATATCAGTGACAATGTGCACATATATATAGTACATGATATCACAAACAAGCAGTAAATATAATTATAGTAATATTTTTCAGTTGCCCAAATATTTGTATACATTCATAATGAATATGCATGACAGTGTTTCATTGACTGATTCATGCAAGTTTGTTATATTGTTTCTTCATTGTTTCAATACGGTATATAATCATTATAACTTTTTCATTATTATCTTAATAATTTCAATGGTTCTTCATTGTTTCAATATATAATCATTTCACTTTTTTTGTTATTTCATTATTTTAATACATAATTATCATAATATTTCATTATTTCATTGTTTCTTTATTGTTTTGATATATAATTATTTCACTTTTTTCATTATTTCATCATTTCTTTATTGTTTCAATATATATATATTATTTTTCATTATTTCAGATCGTAATAGCAAAATAATTAAGGACCTAACTAGCAAAGTCATTAAGTAAAGTAATGACACAAATAATCCGTCCCTGGAACTGTACAATTAACGTAATCCACTGCTTCTCTGATATCATCATAAGGTACTAGACGAGAGAATTTCCTGTACACTGTATGTCTTTTATGTTATATAACCTTACCCATTCCAGCTTCAATGAAGTCACTATTTGAACCTGTATCATCATCATCAGGAGAGTAGCCATGCGTCACCTTGGAAAGTTTATTTTCTAATTCTCTTTTGGCACGTAGTAAATTCTGGATTTCATATTCTTGGTTTTCTCTAAAAATCTGAAAAATATAAACATTTCCATCAATATTAAAGATAACATATGAGGAAATAAATTTAAATCTTACTGTATGTGGTTTTGAAAAGCATTCAAACAAAGATTCTCATGTTGAGAAATTAAAGAGCAATTAAATTCACTTGTATAAATATTACATCATGTACTACATTGCATTGTACTCTTGTATTTTTAGTTTTGTTTTTAAATTACATTAAAACTGATTTCAGCACAATAATAAAAAAAAGAAGATAAAAAATTACATTTACAATATGAAATCACGTATGCATGAATTCTGCGTGAATTTGTAGAGTATAGTCATTGTAATTTGCCAAGGTTTATACACAACATCTATAATGTTTAAAATTCTGTGATGTCCCGCCAGTGAACTCACTTTGAACTGACGCTGAACTTTATCTCTGTCCTGTTCAAATGCCCCAGATCTAGCCAGAGCCTGCTGTTCTGCATCTAAAGCAGAATCCCTCTCTGTACGTAAATAGGAACATGTTTTCTGTAGCACCAGGAGTTCAGCTCGAAGCCTTTTGTTCTCTATTGTAAGCCGTTGTTCTTTTCTCTGCATATTTGCAATGTCATTCTCTTTGTTCAATCTGAAATTGTTCAACTCGGATGTGAAAATGCTAGCAGAAATACGCTAGAGTACAGAAACAGTGATACAGGTATGTAGGTTGGCATTTTTGTAATCTAATATTTACAAATCTGTTCTACTGTAGCCTAACCAGAAATAAACCTTACAACTCTACACTAGGTACTCTTACCAGAATTTAACTTAAATTAATTGTGTAAATCCCGCTATTACCCTAGGAACTTTACTATCAATCTAACAATACATAGAATGTGTGACTTGATATCATTTTATTCCTGACACTGTTTGATTTATTCTAGTGTATGGTACTGTGTAACAATGTATGTGTAGACTCCTATCTATACAATGATTTCCCACATCCAGCCCTCACTACTATTGATGACGTCAGATTATTGTGTACTATCTATAACATGTATGTCATTTATATTTGCTTTGTTGTGACGGTCACTAAGCAATTAGGCACCACGTTTTATACATTATATCTGAATGTTCATATTTCAAAGTTGTTCTGATTACCATACATCTAATGTGTCGAAACTAGTCAACGTACTCTTGATTAAGGCTGTTCAACCCAGCACGTCGTTGTCAGGGTCATCTTTACCTGATTCATAACTCTACAAGTTATGACAGCAAATCAGTTTTATTACATGCAAATTTAAATGTTTTACAATTGGAAACTGACCTGAATTTTCTGCACAACAGATATAATGTTAGGAGTAACAAGAGTACTGATTATATAGTGACTTAAAATTCAAATTGTCAGCAGCAAATTTCTTACTTGGATACATGTCATTTGACTCATTTCAACTCTGACAGATGATATATAGTAACATTTTATTGCTTTGTTATAGACAATTTGTAGAACAGTTTGTTTAAAATATACCATAAACTAGAGAGTCCTCACTATAATACCATCGCTTCACAATAAAGTTATCTAAATGGAATACAACAGGATTATACATTAAATCTGGTAAGAAATCCATTATATTTGAAATAATCAAGACATTTGCTTATCTGATGGTATAAGATATGAGATATGTGTCACTATACGTTAATCACTTGCACCTTCCGAATAATTTAACATTAAACAAAACTGTGATACAGATCTATCTTCTTTTGATGCCAAAATTACAACATTATATATATAATTACAATATCCATATCTTCAAAAAGATTCATCAATTTCGAAATATGTGATATCAAAGATTAACTTTCTACACAAACACTGTACATATAAAAAGTGCCTCAACGTTTCAAGACCAACTGGTCCTTTTGTTAAGCTATGACTCATGGGAAAATGACTGGTTGCTTTGTCATAGCTTGACAAAGGGACCAGACGGTCTTGAAACTTTGCGACACATTTAATACGGACATTATTTGTGTAGAACTTTGATCTCACTATACCCATACCTGTACATCTCAAAATCTTTCCGTATTTTTTCTGCCTCTGGATTCTCCAAATCTATGGACAGAGCTGAGCGGAGACTCCCTCCCTTTGGTTTCTTGCTAGCTCCACTGCGAAGCCCCAGCTTTCCTCTAGGTTTCATCTCAATGGGGATCCTCTTGATGACTCCATGACTGCTGCCATCCAGATCTGTCCCGAGGATGTCATCATCTTCGTTATTCCTCAGGAAGGAGCCTCCAGTCCCCATAATGAATGAATGTTATCACAAATCTCTGAATGATTTGTCTGTCCTTGGTATTTATGGCATGTTCTCAGATCAAGGATCTTCCTCAACCTTAAAATAATGTGAAAGTTTTAGACAGGTCAAACATACAATTTGTTCTAACCTGAGTTTCCACTGGCCCTGTCAACAAACTTAAACAATTTCACAGATAGATGTCTGGTGTATCTATCTGTCAGAATGTCTATAGTCTGGTGTCAGGGCCAGGAGGAAACTGAGGCTATATTTGTTGATGCTCAGACTTAAAATATTTGAAGACAATGCCTACGGAACAGTTGTTCTTCAACGAAAAAAAATGAAGCCTATAGAGTATATGTATTTGTATCAAGCATTAATGATGTAGTCCAACTAAATTTACATAAAAAATAGAATGATACATGTAATTGGAAGTAAACAATTACTGCTAGGTCCCTTTCAGCTTAATGATATATTTCATTATATTACTAAAATGGAATGAAGAAACAAAATAATAATCCAGTCCAAAAACACTTGCAGGTTTTAATTGTACATAGGATTTCGGTCACATTCTATAACTAGCTTCGCGCTAGAGGGAATTCCCCTTTAGCTCAATGGAAGCACTTCAGACTAGGAAACTAGGGGTCGCAGGTATGATCCCCAGTGGAAGCACACTATTCTCTTTCTTGTTACACAATTTCTACAACTTTTTTTTCCTGTTGTTGAAAAGATTGGTTGAGAATAATTAATTTGAAATAAGCCAATGTTGTAAGAGTAACGACTGTTGGACAAACTCTCATCCACAAATCCTAAGCCTTAGACGAACAGTTAAACTGTTCAGAACATCCTGATTCCAAAACATTAAGCAACCGTTATTCCTAGGTAAAAATGAAGTGGGTTTTTTTTCTTTAAATGTAACCATACCGGACCCTATATAAAAAGTAATACATGTGATCCAAGTGAGCATGACTTTAGTTTTTTAGTCGAGACACATGGGACTAGCAACCCTTTTGTGTTAGTCTAGCTTATATTAGGGAAAGCAGACGTTTCACAGTATGTCTCTTTAGATTCGACTGATTCGGCTTTACTAAAATTGATGTTAGGCTAACCAGATACTCTTAAAAAAATGATTCCGGTTTATCTGAATATGACGGCTGGTTTTACGGATACTTACGTTAGAAATTTAGGTTTGAGATTACTCTACATCATTCAGAGACCGTAAGTTAACTGGAGAACTGACATTTTTGCCATGAACCAATGTTTGTTGTTTGACGGAAGTGTAGTATGTGAATAAGGGAAATAACTCTCACCGGAAGATGCAAAATCACGGATCAATGAATCGACAGTGACATGCGGAAGCGTACCACAATACTCTGATTCAACGAAAACAAAATTATGTTTCCAATTTGTATAATCGTTTATAAAATTCAAAGATCATTACATGTGTATACTGCGTCCCTGCACGAAGTAAATAGTTTTTCAATTAATAACAAGAAAATGCAGCAAAGCTGCTGGACACCAAACCTGTTTATGAAAATGACTTACTGACAGTCCATCAACCACGAGGAAACGAATCCTGCATACTTGAATCTATTTATTCATAATCATATAAATTGTAAATGACATTAATTGTGTTGTTCAGAATATTCCGTTCACGCTCAATATCTAGTTTTAACCGCACGTTTAGGCCAAATGTCAATGATTTGGTAATAATGTCATCTTCTGCGAGAGAGAAGCCGGGACATAAGACGATTTACATAAAAGATCATTCACACCTTTTGTCAACATTGCAGCAATTTTTGCATATGTTTCTTTTGACAATGTCCCTTTTCGACTATTTTGGATAAAATATCAACCATTTTCTAGGTTAAAGGGTCAATCGTAGCCCTCCGCCCCTTTGAATAATAGTTATTACTTCTCGAGACTGCAACGAAGACATATTTTGCCACAACGCTGTGTTTTTTGGTTGTTATCACATATTCGTTTTATACAAGTGAAATATGTTAAATAATTCTCCAAATACGGAAGTTAATTTGCCCTTTTGTTGTTATTTTATGAAAAGCATTGAATATCTAAATATATCCATACAACATTTGATGTAGCGCCCAATCTAGCTAACATAAGCCACTCTAAAGCGCTTTACATTACATAGATATACAATTAATACTATAAGCATATACTTGTACATTAATTCAATAAATTTTTAATGAGGAAGTTGCAGGAGCTGCCTTGTCAGACGCTAACTACTAGCCATATGCCACCTGGCTAATATCTCCCCATATGTATGCCTGCGTGTGTGCTGGAAATGTATNATAACGCGAGGACTAGATGTTCATTCTACTGACAGTACATAAAATGTAACTATTAAGTTATGTAGGAAACAGTAGTTTTATGTGTATGTTTGCCCGCTGTTTAGGTTTGCTGTTTGCTACACCAGAAAAGCGCGGGAATGTATAACGTAGTTTTTGACGCCAAGTTATAATGACTTCATGCCTGACAACAATACAAAGCGCCATTTTGAATGGGTTTTCACTGCAATTTTGCCGTTTGCTAGTATTATCTGGTAAGATTTTCAGACAAAAATGATATTAATTGTGTAGTTATGTAAAAACAATATTGTATGCTGGAAAGGTAGACAGCACAACCACTTATTCTGCCGTCACTTCATCTAAACTTGAAACTGAAAATCTAAGCAGAAAATATAATGTACCGTTCAGATTGGACAATACTTATAAAGTGAAGTTTTTACTTGTGAAGATATAATGTTTCGTTTATCTTCACTGCATTAAAGATATGTTTTTATTAAATAGAGAATTCATGATATTTCACAAGTAAACTGCAATAAATACCGATACCGTAGGGTTTACCATCATATTTTTGTAGACAGTATGCGGCCTCAATTTCCCAGAAGGCTTTCACGCATGGGGAAGCACCGGAAGTGGACAAAGTGTTTACAGATCAAACCCCGGCGGCGCTTTGCGCCGCTTAGGGGTTTGAAAAAAATGCATTTTTTAAAAATTTTAGTTTCAATAATTTATCGTCTCGTTTCAGAAATATAATGTGGTCCAATTAATAGCTAAAGTCATTTAAGGACATGCCAGACATTGGTGGCGGAGAAACGGCCAGTACCTGGGGACTGCCCCGCGTATGCTTCAAACCCGCATAATACTGTGAAGGCTTGTAATCGTAGAAGACACTCGGCCACAATATATCCCATGTGTAAGATCCTCTATGCAAAATATATCACTTCTCTTCTGTAATTAGTATTTGTACTCGACATCAGTTATGAAGTGAATTCTACTCTTCGATCGCTAAAACTTCCTAGTGTGTCAGCTCTGGAGAACATTATGTGCTCTACCTTACTTTGCAGAACAAGTCATCCTTATCTATTACTGTGCTTACCATAATGTGTAGAAACTAGTCAGCGTATTCTTGATTAAAGCTGTTCAACCCAGTACGTCGTTGTCATGGTTTCGTTTTCTTCACTATTTTCCGCTCTTCATTCTTATCTTCAATCTATCTGTTTGCTGAAAGGAACAGATTCCTCTCCTAGAGCCGGAACAATCGTTAATTGTGTCGGATCCTAAACCTGGTTTTAAAACAACCGTTAGTATATTGTTTAATTCATGCAATGGCGTTAAGCACGCTTGAATGTAACAAAGAAAACCTGATCGTTTGTGAAAAGAAAGCTGAAAGGTCGTTCATCCGCCAAGAATGATGTTCCATAAATACTCATTTGTTTCTGTATGGCTTTAATTAAGTATTCTCTTATTACAACCGAAAGCCCCCCTTTTCCCAACCAGAGCACATTTATCCGTTACAACCTAAAACGTCACTGGCCTCGATCTGAGCCATCCACGCCACAACCGAAACCTACTTGACATCAACAGGAGAATGCAGACTAACTGCGTTTCCAGATGGTAACTTTGATTTTGTGTACAGAGGTATAATTGTATGTGTGTTAAATGCTTGTTTGCAGTACATGTTTAGTTATATTGTATTTGTAAGTGGGGGTTGTCTCGCTTACTAGGAGCAAGCTGAACAGAAAGAGTAGGGGAGCAATTATAGAAATATAATTGATCGCAGTGAGGCATATTATGTTTGGTTCCTTCAATGATTCATTGATGCCTCCCTGGATACAGTTGGAACTTCCTTGGCAACAACCATAACTTACTTGGTTACCATTGATCTTCTCTATTTACAACCCTGGAGACAACCAGAAGCTCTCTAGCCAGACCGGAACTTACTTGACAACAACATGAACATCCCTGGCCACAATCGGGACTTCCCTGGAATAACAAGAACATCCTGGCTACAAATTGGAATTCCTTAGAACAAGAATATCCATGGCTACAACCGGGATTGCCCTAGAACAACAAGAACATCACTGGCTACAACCGGGACTTCCCTAGAACGACAAGAATGTCCCTGATTACAACCGGGTCTTCCCTAGAACAACAAGAACATCCCTGCATGACCACAATCGGGACTTCCCTAGAACAACAAGAACATCCCTGGCCACAACCGGGACTTCCCTAGAACAACAAGAACATCCCTGGCCACAACCGGGACTTCCCTAGAACAACAAGAACCTCTCTGGCTACAACTGAAACTTCCTTGACCACAACCAGAACCTCTCTGGCCACAACCGGAACTCAAGTCCCTGGCCACAACCGGAACTCAAGCCCCGTGGCCGAAACCGGAACTCAAGTCCCATGCCACAACCAAAACTTCCCTGGAGACAAACGAACTTCCTTTGCGACCCGCAGAACATCCCTAGCGACAACCAGAAGCTCCTTGGTCACAACCGGAACTTCTCTGGTTTCAACCGGATCTATCTGGAGTTATACTAGTGTGTTAATAGATTTATAATTGTGAGGTCGGATTTTTGCGTCTTAACTTTTATATAAAAATGTGAAGTAGGCAGTCAGAGGCAATAAGTTTGCACTCCGTCCGCCCGAAAAGTTTGTCCGGGACATATCCTATATACTTTCTTTGAAACAGCTCCGTTTTAACCATGTCTTTAATATTCAACATAACAAATGTCAATCCTATATGAAAGAAAATTTTACTAGAACAGAGAAAAAACACTTTACCAGGAACAGTGATCTGAATTTCAACATTCCTTATATAAAAGGTGTGGAATCATCATCTTTTTTCTATAATGCTATCAAAGATTGGAATAACTTACCACATTCAATAAAATCTGTCGATCACAAGATGAATTTCAAAAGCGAGATAAAAAAGTACTTACAAGTTTTGGCAAAAAATGATTTTGAGCAAGAATTTGTCTTCTAAAGGTAATTTTTGTTCTATCCCAGTGGGTGACTCTAAACTTCTTCTAAAACTATATGATGTATTACCAAAGTTTTAACTAAAGTACCAATATAATGTGTACTTTTATAAATGTTATGGAACATTTTATTACCATCATCCTCAGTCTTTATTTTATTAAAAGTCATTTTTATATATGTATTATACCCCAAATTGCTATAATTTGTTAGACAGATAATAGGTTGGTAGGGATTGCCCAACCACCTGTTGTCTGTTCTACACACAAGTACCACAGTATAAATGTATATGGCCTAACACCATCTTATATTGTTACTTAATATCTGCAAGAATGACATCATCTTGCATTATGATATGTACAGTGATACATATAACTGATATTTTAATATTACAAGTGGAAACAACATCATGCATAGCCCCACATATATATATTATCAGAAGGAAATCATATTTGCTAATGACAACTCCATCTTATACCGTCAAATAAAATAACATCTTATTTTGATGAAATAATATATCATCATCATATTTGACCAATTACAACTTATTCTATTCATATATATATTATTACGAGAAATTATACCATCTTATATTCATATTATAAGGTCAAATCCTTAGGACCTTTTGTTATCTAAGTAATTAAGATCTATACTAGAGGACCCCATTGGAAATAAGCTGCCACCCAGCTTTCATGGGATATCCTAGGTTAAAGCTTAGTCAAACAGATACATTGTATTTATAGTGCTCCAAAATTTGTGATATTAACTTTGATGTGATAATCTTAATACTGTGATAAATCTGTGATTATTATGCAATTGAAATCTGTGATCATATGTGATATTTGTACCTGTATCTTGCTTTTACCGAATAAATATTATTATACTATCTCACCTGGAGTAACCAAATGTGGTGTGCAAGGACATCTTGGGATGGCGGAGTGCAGAGTGCAAGAAGAATGTCACTGTAACATTTGACCTTCACTTTTGAAAATGTTTGTCCGGGACATATCGTCTATATTGTTTCACCTGGAGTATCCAGTTTTGGTATACATAGACATCATGAGATGGCGGAAGGCGAAGTGCAAGAGTTAGGTCACTTTAACCTCACTGTGACCTTTGACCTTCACTTTTGAAAATATTTGTCCGGAGAATTATATTCTATACTATTTCACCCGGATTAACCATATTTGGTGTGCAAGGATATCTTAGAATGTTGGAGTGCAGAATGAAAGAATTAGGTCACTATGACCTCACTGTGAACTATGACATGACCTTTGACCTCTACTTTTTAAAAAGTTCTTCCAGGGTATAGCTTCTATACTATTTCACCTGGAGTAACCAGATTTGGTATACAAGGATGTCTTGGGATGGTGAAGTGTAAGAAGTATGTATCAGGATACTTTCCTTGCAGTAGGTACATCCTGACACAAGTGTACTGTTGGTTAAATATAGAAATAATTACCGGTAGGGGACTATGGATTGCCTTGTTCATGTTATTTTGGAAAATGGACTTACTTAAACATTTGTGCTTCAGATGTCTCATTCGCAAACAAAACAGCAAGCGCAAAATATGATTTTTTTTTAAAGTTTAATACATAAATCGACAATCATATAACAACTGAAAAATTAAGGATTAGAATGTGTTACGATACCGTTCGTTGGTCGAGGAAACCCAAATATTAATTAATATAATCAAATATATATGGTAAAAATATAACAAATGTTAAATAATAAAGGTACTGCTAAAGGGAATTTTCATCATGTTTTGTTTCTAAATATCTAGTCAATTTGAATATAATTCAAAACTTCAATGACACGTTAACAAAAAATTAAAATATAACTATATTGCAATCTTTTTAAAAATACATTATTGTATTGATGCATCCAATCATCATTTTGCAATTCTGTATCAGTTTTAATTCTTTGTTTTAATATGACAGAGAATAATGTACAGCCTAATAAGCTTAAAGCGTCAACGTTGAATTAAAAAAATAAATTAAAAAATGTTTGTATTCAGAATAAAATCTCTGCACCCATTCTTTTTAGATTATATCTAAGCATGATTAGCTTCACGTCAAGTCAACGTAAATTTTTAATAATATTCCAAAATAAATGAAATTTGCAACAAAAACTACATATATAGGAAGTCAAAATGATCAGCTTATGACGGAATGAAAACTACCCGGAAATTTTCCGATGTTTTTCAAGAATACCATTTTGAAACTTTTGAACAAATACTCGTTAATCTCACGAGGCCATGCTTGTCGTGCAGTTATCAGTTGTCTTCATCAAATACATCGCCATCTTGTGTAATAGTATATATACATTGACGGTACCGGAAATTGGTGTTACTGAAAGATTACAATTTTAAGATAATGTAAAGATAGCAAACAATGTATTCTAAAACAATAAGTAATAAAAGTTAAGACCAGGGCCCGTATTCATAGTTTTTTCATGCTCCAGCACGGATTCTCTGCTCAAACCAGCTTTAGTGTCACTCACTTAAATCACTTAAAAAGTCAATTGTAAACATTGAAATAAGTATTCGACTAAAAGTCTTTTCATGTTTTCCCCCAAATCATTGACAATTTTTAAAATGATGCATGACCGGAACAAAAAAATAGGCTCGAGCACCGAGTCCATGCTGAAGCATGAGAACAGTTTCATGGCTACGGCCCAGGAATGCTTTATATAAAAAATAAACCGGAAAAATATGATATAATATTTATGTTGTCACGTAAATCATCATAATGAGACCTGTATATAAAAGGCACCATGTTTGTGATAACTTGTGTATTTGTACCCTCTATTTATGTGGGTGTACACCATTAAATGTATTAAATATCTATTTGTGATTGACAAATACACTACAATACAATATATGAAATATATCCTGTTTCAAAATTATCATTTACTAAATATAGATCTGACATTACTTCTCCATGGTCATGATAGTTGTTCTCCGACAATGAAAAATACTGGAACTTCTGATTTTTCAAGCTGGCTGACAACTGCGTCTTTTTGCTTGTAAAAAGAAAGTATACTAAACTAATACTGTATAATTTTAGAAATATCGTCATAGCCTATTTCATCTTCAGAGATTAACTGTATTACATCAAAAGATTTACAAAATATTAATGCTGATTAACCCAATCACTGTATACCATAATGGATTCATCCACATCAATGCATGGTAGAGTCTACTGAAGTTATATAAGGGTGAAAGGGTTTATTAACCAACAAATCATTTAAAAGACCAATTGAGACCATACATTTTCGTGCTAGTTTAAGAGGAGTTATTTGAGTATTCGGTATTGATTTTCTCTTATAGTTGTACTCCTTAATTAAAAACATAATAACCACGAATCGTTTACTTAATTAGAAAAAAAATAAAAACACGAATCGTTTACTCAAAGCTATCAACAAAAATCACATTATCATACAAATAATATAGAAAGTGGATCATTTGATAACAATGTGATTACAGTGAGGGACCGATTTATACCGTCCGTGTGTTCATAGTACTTGAAGGTCAGGAACAGAAATAAATTTCAGGTGGTGAGCTAATAAGTGCAATAAGAAGCTTTTCGTAATGAAAAACTTCATTTTGAAGTCTCTTTTAAACAAAACGTTAAAAATGATACCGTGTATGGGCGCATTTAATGTCACACTTAAAGAAAATCGTGAACGGTCTCATTTAGTATGACCGTTGTGTCCAGAAAAGATTGAACCCATCACAATTGCGAGAAGAGTTCATTTCTGTATATAAAGGAGTAGACTGGATTGTCTGCCGCAGTACCATTTCTCTCCGCTAGGCTGCAACCTTGGATATCAATTGAAGGGAAGTCTGGCGGAGGGTAGAAATAAATACGGCACGCAATCCAGTCTACGTAGAGGTGTTTTCTGACTAGAGTTACTTCCCTTCACGGAGTATTCATATTTAATTTAATAATGGTTATGTAAGCATTTTATAATTCATGCATTACATCCAAACAATTGTTATGAGTGTGATCGGCAGAGCACATGTTCATTTCAGTTTCCCGCCCCACATATGTTCAAGTTTCCAAAAATTGTACGACTTATATACGAAACGCATTGTTTGAAAATGACTCAAAAACACGAAAAATTATGCAAACAGTGGGTGATATTTTTTGTGCATGTTAGAATTCATCGTTGATATATGAAAGAAATCCCTACAACATCGCCATGGGTTACGCTCAGTTACGATCGCTGCATTGCACACCCTGACTATGTCATACAAAATTGAAGGCTCAGTGTGCACCACCTTGTGAATAAAACTTGACTAATTTGATCCTTTGAATCTCGTAGTCGCGTAACGGTAAAATTGACTGGCTTTGACGTCGGATGAACCTTCTCTGTAATGTTTAAAAGACGGGTATCAGACTAGCGATTGATTTATGTTTTTTACCCGAGACCAATCAAATTGCTAGCCGGAGCCTTTAAATTTGCTATGACTTATCCCATAGGTGCAGAGAGCATACGTGAGCGTAATCCCTGGATATGGAGGATGTAATTGACCAGAACCAGTTGCTAGTATAGGTTGAACATAATTATATTCTAAACGACTACTTGTAGTTTACATATACATCATAAATTACCTCACACAACAAATAAGGTTCAAGATATCAATTTGTCTAATAATATACACATCTTAGTCATTTAAATCTTATCATGAATGACGAAACACTATAAATTCTGTCCAACATTTTAAATTGTTTGATTAAATATATAAACATCTTAAATATTAAAACTTTCATCATGAATGGAAACAATCTTGTCACAACAGGAAGAATACAACCAGAAATTAGCACCAAATGTGAATGTTGTCTATGTGTCTATAATCGGATGCATTCCTGGCCCTTCCTGTACGATATACCGGCAGGACAGGACGACACACATCGTCCTTCGTGTTTGAAGTATTTACACAACTGCAAGAAAAGAAAAAAATATAAGGATAAAATAAACATGTACCAGGGTCATTTTTAAAACATAAAAATATGATTAAAATAAAAATAAATATCGTCATCATTTAAGAATATATGCTGCCTATTTCATTTCAAAATATTTCTTCACAAAATATAACTTAGTTCATTAAGTAATGACACATTAAACGATGTATTTATTGAGAACACACAGAAAATTCGGACGTGAAAACATATGGGGTCACCTGCCCGACCACCTGGGTTTTCTCCGGGTATTCCGGTTTCCTCCCACATTTAGACCCTCCGCGCGCTAACATCCGGGCCATCAAGAGCGATTAATATAAGCTGAAATAATTTGTTTTATAATTGTTGTAAAATAAATAAAGTTTATATTTTACAGAACATTCTGAATTATTAAACGATGCCAGTTGAAGGGAGTGAACTCCCACAATTAAATTTAGGTAGCATATATCCTTAACATAAAGAAAGCAGTTTCACATTGTACACACATCACACTTGTACAGAAGTTTTGGAATTTATCAGAGATGTACTGTTTGATTGTTTTCTTACTAATTTCGGATTACTTGGGTAAGCAAATCATTGTTACATAATTAATCCTACCCATGAATCATCACTAATAAACACATTTTAGCAGGGGTGTGCTATTCTGCATGTTAACAGACTGATGTTTGTTACAACCTGCAGTGCTGTTCATTGGTCACACCTGGTCTCGGATGGCTATTAATGGTCTAACTACGAACTGCCAGGTACTGCACGCAATTAAATACTTCCTAGCAACAAAATCTTTAGAACCAATGTAATTGTTTTGTTTTTTTCGTGACTGATACGAATGAAAAGAACTCCACAGGAGTGGAGGTGTCGCCTGCACAGGCATCTCTCATGAGAAAGCAATCCCAAGCAAGCACTTTCAGTATGAAGTCTGAGCTCAATCAACCTAAAATCTCGAGTTATCGCACGGAAACAGAGTTTCTATTTATAGTAACAGTGACCTTGACCTTTGTTCTTCGGACCTGAAAAGCAATCCCAAGCAAGCACTATTGTTAAGGAAGCTCTGTATGAAGTCTGAGCTCAAGCAACCTAAAGAAACTCAAGTTATCGATTTTATGAAAACAAGGATAAGTTACTGTAAAGGCAAAAATGAAGTAGTGTTGCAATTTCAAGTGCCATACGCCAAAACGCGGAAAGTTGAAACTCGACAGAAAAACCTGTAATATGTATTGCACATTTTTGCTTCTAGCATTACCGTACACAATTTGATAGGAATTGATTAAAAAATAAGAAAGTTCTTCCATTTACTACACAATGCCCAAAAATGCGTACAGTGTTGCTATGTCAAGTGTGATATGCCAAACCGCGTAAAGTTGAAACTCGACATGTATACGAAGTTTGAGTTTAATCAACCCAAGGGAACTCAAGTTATCTCACGGAAACCTTGTTTCGGACGAAGACGCCCACAAAGTAATACCTATATGTCGCCTCGCGTTACACAAAAAATGGGCTTAATCTGAAATTTGGGATTAATCTGAAATTTTTGTTTGAATGAAGTAAACGTCAGTTAACTTTTTAATTTATAGTTTAAAGAATAACAATTGAATCTCACTTTTATACAAGGTCAGCAATTTTAATAACATGAATTGCTCGATAATAAACAGGACAATTGTATTTGTACAATATCTAGCAAAAACAGTGAAGTGTTTCGAAGGTCAATTATAATCTAAATTATCTCATTAGCGTGAACAACGAATTCTGTCGTTTTAACAAGGCAAGATTTTCTGCCTTAGTACCATTTCTTTCCGCTAGGACCCGCTCTTTGGTTCTTGTTTTTCCTTTTCAAAGGAAGTCTAGTAAAGTGTAGGAAAAAACTATATCGGGAAATCATATCTTTGTGTTAACCAATCATACCTCACAATCGGTGTCACGTGGGCCATAACAGCCAATCGCACACTCTGGATGGCAACATCCCAGGATGTAGCTGTCATAGCAACGCCCAGGGCAGTCTTGGTGACACCATACTGGCACCTCATCTGGAAAGGTAAACACGGCGGACAGGTGTATAAATATAGAAGAGTCCAATGAATCTATTTACCCATCCGAATCACAGGGGCTCGGTTTCGGGATACATTCGGTTAATAATAAACCTTTTGAGAATGTGTATATATTAAACGGAAGTATACCGAAACCGAGCCCCTGTGATCCGAATGCCATCATTGTTTAAGAAATTACAGAAATGCCTTTGTATATTGTACAAAAGCGAACTTTGATTTTCCTTGTGTTAATTCAGACTTTTTGTGTTTGGCGATGAATATATTGAACTGCTTTTATAACAGCTTTTTTTTTATTTCAAATTGTTGATCATCTGAACACAGTTGTAATGGTATGGTTGTAATGAGTTGTATTGAACGGGAAGACTTGTATGGAATTTTGAATACTTACGTCTCTGACACATAAGTGGGTTTAATCCCCAGCAGTGCGCAATATCGTCTCCAAACCGACATGCGGAGTCACACTCCAAAGGACCTAAGGGAGATAATTACATATTGTAATTACAAGCTGAGCGAACTTTAGTGACGTCAGAGTTCTGTTCACATTTCAAGTCAAAAATACTAAATTACTAGACAATTGTCAACTTTACTCAAATTCACTCCGAAAAGTAACCGCAAATGTTACAGTATGCAGATATAAATTCCATAGTTAATTACTAATGGTGTAGAACTGGACTGGGTCGATCGTCAGCGACTCGGAAGCTCAATCGGTAGAGCGTCCGTCTAGAGTTTGCCAATACTTCCAGCACTAGGCGAACGCTTGGCAAGGGGATACAAGAATCTGGTTGTAAAAAGTTGTGTCTTTGTAAGCGAAGACCTAGAAAAAGTAGATCTGGACTGGGACGATCGTCGGCGACCAGGCAGAAGCTCATTTGGTAGAGAGTCCGTCTAGAGTTCGGAGGGCCCCGGGTTCGAACCTTTGTCTAGCCATTGCATAACTCTTTATCAAGTAATCATATATTTTTTGAACGTTTACTAACTTACCGTCCATCAGGTAATCTTCGCTACCATGGACACTGGTAGTCAAACTGTAAGCCTTGTTGCTATACTTAAGGTCGAGATGTAGGTGTTGTATACATAGTTACTAACATGCATGCTGTACGCGTCATCGCCATGGTTATTTACGTAGAAGTCACCATAGTCATAGGCGTCGTCGACAAAATATATACTTGAAATCGAACCTTAGTGACTTAAATTCCCATTGTACGCATCGTTGCCATGGTTACTCAGAGAAGTTGTTGATCACAGTCGGCCCTGTAGAAGTCGTCGCAATAGTTATTTACAGTCGAACATGTACGCAACGTTGAAGTCGAACAAGTCTACAGACGTTATCGCCTTAGTTACTTGCGGGGTCAAACCTGTAGAGGTCGTTGCCATAGTTAATTAAAGTCGAGCCTGTATGGGTCATGGCCGTAGTTACTTAATTATAGTCAAACCTGTAGGGGTCGTCGCCATAGATACGTTTAGTCGAACCTGTAGGGGTCATCGCTATAATTATTTACAGTCGAGCCTGTAGGGGTCGTCGCTATGATTATTTACAGTCAAACCTGTAGGGGTCGTAGCCATAGTTACGTAAAGTCAAACCTGTAGGGGTCATCGCCATAGTAACTTATAGTCAATCCTGCAGGGGTCGTCGCTATAATTATTTACAGTCAAACCTGTAGGGGTCGTCGCCATAGTGAGTTATAAAGGAACCTGTAGGGGTCGTCTCTCTATAATTATTTATAGTCAAACCTGCAGGTTTCGTCACCATAGTTACTTATAGTCAAACCTGTAGGGGTCGTCGCCATAGCAACGTGTAGTCAAACCTGTAGGGATCGTCGCCATGGTAACGTATAGTCTAACCAGTAGGGGTCGTCGCTATATTGAATTATAGTCAAACTTGTAGGGGTCATCACTATAGTTACGTATAGTCAAACCTGTAGGGGTCGTCGCCATAGCAACGTGTAGTCAAACCTGTAGGGATCGTCGCCATGGTTACGTATAGTCAAACCTGTAGGGGTCGTCACCATAGTAACTTATAGTCGAACTTGTAGGGGTCATCACCATAGTAACGTATAGTCAAACCTGTTGGGGTCGTCGCCATAGTAACTTATAGTCAAACCTGTAGGGGTCGTAGCTATAGTTACTTATAGTCGAACATATAAGGGTCGTCGCCTTATATGTACTTAAAGTAGAATCTGTAGGGGTAGTCGCTATAGTGACTTATAGTCGAACCTGTAGGGGTCGTCGCTATAGTGACTTATAGTCGAACATATACGGGTCGTCGCCTTATATGTACTTAAAGTAGAATCTGTAGGGGTCGTCGCTATAGTGACTTATAATCTGTAGGGGTCGTCGCCATAGTGATTTATAGTCGAATCTGTAGGGGTCGTCGCTATAGTGACTTATAGTCGAACCTGTAGGGGTCATCCCCATAGTAACGTATAGTCAAACCTGTAGGGGTCGTTGCCATAGTAACGTATAGTCAAACCTGTAGGGATCGTCGCCATGGTAACGTATAGTCTAACCAGTAGGGGTCGTCGCTATAGTGAATTATAGTCAAACTTGTAGGGGTCGTCACCATAGTTACGTATAGTCAAACCTGTAGGGGTCGTCACCATAGTAACTTATAGTCGAACTTGTAGGGGTCATCACCATAGTAACGTATAGTCAAACCTGTAGGGGTCGTTGCCATAGTAACGTATAGTCAAACCTGTAGGGGTCGTTGCCATAGTAACGTATAGTCAAACCTGTAGGGATCGTCGCCATGGTTACGTATAGTCAAACCTGTAGGGGTCGTCGCCATAGTAACTTATAGTCAAACCTGTAGGGGTCGTCGCTATAGTTACTTATAGTCGAACATATAAGGGTCGTCGCCTTATATGTACTTAAAGTAGAATCTGTAGGGGTCGTCGCTATAGTGACTTATAGTCGAACCTGTAGGGGTCGTCGCTATAGTAACTTATAGTCGAACCTGTAGGGGTCGTCTCTATAGTGACTTATAGTCAAACCTGTAGGGGTCGTCTCTATAGTTACTTATAGTCAAACCTGTAGGGGTCGTCGCCATAGTGACTTATAGTCAAACCTGTAGTGGTCGTCGCTATAGTGACTTATAGTCAAACCTGTAGGGGTCTTCTTTATAGTGATTTATAGTCGAACCTGTAGGGGTCGTCGCTATAGTGACTTATAGTCGAACATATAAGGGTCGTCGCTTTATGTACTTACAGTCGAATCTGTAGGCGTCGTCGCCATAATTGACGGGTTCATCCCTCCCAGGGACGATCGCGTGCCAGTTGACGGTATTAACAAAACACAGCATCGGATTTTTGTAGAACAAAACTTTCCCCTTTGATATCTCTGAAAGTCAAACGTGAAAGGGAATCTTAAGATTGTTCAAACACAAGACGTTATTAATTCCAGTCTTCGTCGGAAACGGATAAAATGCGTTTTGGCTATCTTTGTAATTTATTTTTAAAAAGAAATCAAAATTAAAGATTTTAATAAAAGAATGTTATTACTGTCACACATTAATCTAAGATGTATCAAACCAAACCTTTCAGTGACGGAAGTTGAAGCTCGACCAGTCCATGTCTATAAATTTCCTGTTCCCCGTCAGTTGAGTTTTCTTTCTGAAACTCCTTCCCATCAGCCTCAGCCGTCAATGCCAGAACGAGGCCATATTCCTCCCCCATGATGTTATAGGTATTGTCTGCTCTGATAAACCGGAGACTCGTCAGTGGGATGTGGTCGACGTCCAGCAGACCAATGAGAACGTAGCCCGTCACAACCTCGATCTGAGACAGGAAACTGAGGTCATAGGTTATGTTGGCTGAGTTGACAAGGTTGGTGATTTCCAGGTTTCCCTCTACATATGTACAGTCCTTGTATCTCCGCTTTAGAGCCTCGTAATGGAACTGGTGCCCACCAGAAAATCCAAAACCAACGTGAGTTCCCTGGCATTCTGTGAACATTAAAAATACAAACGACTATGCTGTATATACATCAATCTTAGTTGCCAAGCGCATATCGCCTTTTTCCTGAAAGGCTATTGATATAACAGCTAATATTTAAAACATTAATATGCATTAACATAAACAAACTATAGTCAAATACCAATGTCAAATGGGTTTTTTTTTGGTTCCCAAAAAAGTATATACATTTTGATAGTGAAAACAACGCAAATAAGGAATGTTCACGTTTTTTTTATTCTTAATATTGAAACATATTGTTAGTTTCGAACTTTTTAAACGACCCGACAACACCGTCAAAACAATATTGATGAATTATAAAATTGTTCAACGGCATGGAAATAACACCTTTGAAGTAATTCATGATGGGTTATCTATATTATACCTAGTGGACCTTTTATGGGAAAACAAACGCGGAAAAAATATCAACAACAGTGTTTTTCGAGAGAAAAAAACAACGTGGCCAGGCCGGTACTCAAACTATAAAACTTCATAAGCGTAAGCTTCCTTTTTAAACGGCCTTAGCACACACTTATCTCATAAATAAGCGTCCTCTGTATTGGTCGTAACCCCCTCTTACAATGTACTTTTGAAGTAAGCGTCCTCTGTAGTGGCCGTAGCCCTCTCTTACAATGTACTTCTGAAGTAAGCGTTCTCTGTAGCGGTCGTAACCCTCTCTTACAACGTACTTCCGAAGTAAGCGTCCTCTGTAGCGGTCGTAACCCTCTCTTACAATGTACCTCCGAAGTAAGCGTCCTCTGTAGTGGTCGGACCCATCTCTTACAATATACTTCTGAAGTAAGCGTCCCCTGTAGTGGTCGGAACCCTCTCTTACAATATACTTCTGAAGTAAGCGTCCGCTGTAGCGGTCGTAGCCCTCTCTTACAATGTACTTCTGAAGTAAGCGTTCTCTGTAGCGGTCGTAACCCTCTCTTACAACGTACTTCCGAAGTAAGCGTCCTCTGTAGCGGTCGTAACCCTCTCTTACAACGTACTTCCGAAGTAAGCGTCCTCTGTAGCGGTCGTAACCCTCTCTTACCATATACTTCTGAAGTAAGGGTCCTCTGTAGCGGTCGTAGCCCTCTCTTACAATATACTTCCGAAGTAAGCGTCCTCTGTAGTGGTCGGACCCATCTCTTACAATATACTTCTGAAGTAAGCGTCCTCGGTAGTGGTCGGAACCCTCTCTTACAATATACTTCTGAAGTAAGCGTCCGCTGTAGCGGTCGTAGCCCTCTCTTACAATATACTTCCGAAGTAAGCGTCCTCTCTAGTGGTCGGAACCATCTCTTACAATATACTTCTGAAGTAAGCGTCCCCTGTAGTGGTCGGAACCCTCTCTTACAATGTTCCTCTGAAGTAAGCGTTCTCTGTAGCGGTCGTAACCCTCTCTTACAATATACTTCGGAAGTAAGCGTCCTCTGTAGTGGTCGGAACCCTCTCTTACAATATACTTCTGAAGTAAGCGTCCTCTGTAGTGGCCGTAACCCTCTCTTACAATGTACTTCTGAAGTAAGCGTCCTCTGTATTGGCCGTAACCCTCTCTTACAATGTACTTCTGAATTAAGCGACCTCTGTAGTGGCCGTAGCCCTCTCTTACAATGTTCTTCTGAAGTAAGCGTCCTCTGTAGTGGCCGTAGCCCTCTCTTACAATGTACTTCTAAAGTAAGCGTCCTCTGTAGTGGTCGGACCCATCTCTTACAATATACTTCTGAAGTAAGCGTCCTTTGTAGTGGTCGAAACCCTCTCTTACAATATACTTCTGAAGTAAGCGTCCCCTGTAGTGGTCGGAACCCTCTCTTACAATGTCCCTCTGAAGTAAGCGTTCTCTGTAGCGGTCGTAACCCTCTCTTACAATATACTTCCGAAGTAAGCGTCCTCTGTAGTGGTCGGAACCATCTCTTACAATATACTTCTGAAGTAAGCGTCCCCTGTAGTGGTCGGAACCCTCTCTTACAATGTCCCTCTGAAGTAAGCGTTCTCTGTAGCGGTCGTAACCCTCTCTTACAATGTACTACTGAAGTAAGAGTCCTCTGTAGTGGTCGTAACCCTCTCTTACAATGTTCCTCTGAAGTAAGCGTTCTCTGTAGCGGTCGTAACCCTCTCTTACAATATACTTCCGAAGTAAGCGTCCTCTCTAGTGGTCGGAACCATCTCTTACAATATACTTCTGAAGTAAGCGTCCGCTGTAGCGGTCGTAGCCCTCTCTTACAATGTACTTCTGAAGTAAGCGTTCTCTGTAGCGGTCGTAACCCTCTCTTACAATGTACTACTGAAGTAAGCGTCCTCTGTAGTGGTCGTAACCCTCTCTTACAATATACTTCCGAAGTAAGCGTCCTCTGTAGTGGTCGGAACCATCTCTTACAATATACTTCTGAAGTAAGCGTCCTCTGTAGTGGTCGAAACCCTCTCTTACAATATACTTCTGAAGTAAGCGTCCTCTGTAGCGGTCGTAGCCCTCTCTTACAATGTACTTCTGAAGTATGCGTTCTCTGTAGCGGTCGTAACCTTCTCTTACAATGTACCTCCGAAGTAAGCGTCCTCTGTAGTGGTCGTAGCCCTGTCTTACAATGTACTTCTGAAGTAAGCGTCTTCTGTCGTGGCCGTAACCCTCTCTTACAATGTACTTCTGAAGTAAGCGTCCTATGTAGTGGCCGTAGCCCTCTCTTACAATGTACTTCTGAAGTAAGTGTCCTCTGTAGCGGTCGTAGCCCTGTCTTACAATGTACTTCTGAAGTAAGCGTCTTCTGTAGTGGTCGTAACCCTCTCTTACAATGTACTTCTGAAGTAAGCGTTCTCTGTAGTGGTCGTAACCCTCTCTTACAACGTACCTCTGAAGTAAGCGTCCTCTGTAGTGGTCGTAACCCTCTCTCACAATGTACCTCTGAAGTAAGCGTCCTCTGTAGTGGTCGTAGCCCTCTCTTACAATGTACTTCTGAAGTAAGCGTCCTCTGTAGTGGCCGTAGCCCTCTCTTACAATGTACTTCTGAAGTAAGTGTCCTCTGTAGCGGTCGTAGCCCTGTCTTACAATGTACTTCTGAAGTAAGCGTCTTCTGTAGTGGCCGTACCCCTCTCTTACAATGTACCTCTGAAGTAAGCGTCCTCTGTAGCGGTCGTAGCCCTCTCTTACAATGTACTTCTGAGGTAAGTGTCCTCTGTAGCGGTCGTAGCCCTGTCTTACAATGTACTTCTGATGTAAGCGTCTTCTGTAGTGGCCGTACCCCTCTCTTACAATGTACCTCTGAAGTAAGCGTCCTCTGTAGTGGCCGTAACCTCTCTTACAATATACTTCTGAAGTAAGCCTCCTCTGTAGCGGCCGTAGCCTACTATTACTTCTGAAGCCGAGGTTTGGATGTTACAGAATCTTAGCCCGAGATTGAGATTACCCGATCTTGCTCAGTTACAGGTAATTGCTTTTTTTTCTCTCGCTCCTTTTGTTTCGAAAACAAGAGGCCCATAGGGCCTGTATCGCTCATCTGGATTATCTAAGCAATCATGACAGAATATTCTCCAAATGAGATCCATGGAAATATGCCAGACCCCAAGGCCAATCCTTGTAGCATATATATCTGTATTCGATTTTTCATGCCCAGCAATTTTATGTATGGTTATGGGGTGGGGATCTCAACTGTTTCAAATCTGTGACTCAGAAACTAGGTCCCTATGGCTGTGGCCAGACCCCAGGATAAATTCTAATATCATGACTGCATTTGTCTCTTTTTGCCCAGCATTTGTATATATAGTTTTGGGGTGGGGATCTCAACCGTTTCAAAGTTATGACCCAGGGTTAAGTCTCCAAGGGTGGGGCAGTCCCCAAGGCCATCCTGGAAGCATATGTGCATTCATCTCTTTATACTCAGCAATTGTCTATATGGTTATAGGTCGGGGATCTCAACTGTTTCCAAGCTGTGACTAAGAAACTAGGTCCCTAGGGGTTCGGTCAGACCCCAGGGTCTATTCTAATATCATGACTGCATTCGTCTCTTTATGCCCAGCATTTGTATATATAGTTTTGGGGTGGGGATCTCAACCGTTTTTAAGTTATGGCCCAAGGACTATGTTTCCAAGGGTGGGGCCAGACCCTAGGGCCATCCCGGAAGCAAATGTGCATTCTTCTCTTTATACTCAGCAATTGTATATGTGGTTGTATGGTGGGTATCCCAACCATTTCCAGGCAATACACTTTTTTTGGCCCCACCACTTAGCCTGGGGGGTCAGCCCCACCATTTGTACAATTTTGAATGCCTGCATCCCATGAATGCTTTTGATTAAATATGATCGATATCCAGTGCATAGTTCTACAGAAGAAGTTGTTTGTAGAAATATAGCCAAATTACCCCTTTTTGGCCCCACCCCTCAGCCATCTGGGGGGTCAGCCCAACCATTTGTACAATTTTGAATCTCCACAACCTAGGGATGCTTTCAGTCTAATATGGTTGATATCCATCACTCAGTTCTAGAGAAGAAGTCGCTTAAAAGAGTTTAGCCAAATTGCCCCTTTTTTGCCCCGCCCCTCAGCCCCCTGGGGGGTCAGCCCCACCATTTGTACAATTTGGAATCCCCACCACCTAGGGATGCTTCCAGTCAAATTTAGTATAATTTCAATCAGTGGTTAAGAAGAAGAAGTCGTTTAAAGAAATTGTTGACGGACGGACGACGGACAGACGACGGACGACGGACGGACGGACGACGGACGCCACGGTATGGCATAAGCTCACCTTGGTCTTTGGACCAGGTGAGCTAAAAACTATTCAAATTTGACAAAAACTACAAATATCCCACCTTGAGCCTCAAATGATGATGACCTCTCCACTACTTAAGCTACATTTGAATGCGTCCGCGAAAACACTTAGTTCGTCCTTACATAGATTACAACGTATTTCACAGTGTAGATTATATTTCATCTACAACATCAAATATCTAACAACATCAAAATTATACAATAACGACAAAACAGAACATTTATAATGCAAATTGTCAATTGCAAGCAGTT